AAGCCAGAGGTGGGAGACCTGTTCCTTGTCATCTTTCACTCCAGCCAGCCAATTAAGGCAAGCCGGAGAAGAAGGAACGGTGACTTCTCCCTGGAGCACTCGGGATGATGGTAGCCCGCGGGATCGCTAATGCCCGTCACCTCGCCTCAAGGTGCCCTGCGGGCTTATTATTATTATTATTTCTCGATAACTCTTACGTTTCTCCCATCTTGGTGGGGTTTAAAGAAGCACGGGCCGAAGCCAAGTGCGTTTAAATGAACTTAAAAGCTAACTATTTAAAAATTTGCGAGTAAGGCGGCATGTATTTAAAATTACTGCTTTTTGCAGAAGGAGGTAAGTAGAGGGACTGATATGTAATGTGCTGAGACTATTGTGTAGGGATTTTGGAATAACTCCCGTAGTGGACAATATGATTGGGATAGTTTTGGTCTGAGTAACATTCCACTGTGTTTTTAGTTCTATGGATAAATCTGTGTATTTTGCAATTTTTTCGGAGTGTGTGTTTACAAGGTTGTGTGTGTTACATATGGCAATGTCTATTGTATAAACTAATTTATTTCTTTTGTCTAACATTGTAATATCCGGTCTATTGTTGTATATAGTTTTGTCTGTAATTATTGTTCTATCCCAATACAATTTGTAGTGTTCATTTTCTAGTACAGCTTGTGGTTTGTATTTATAATATGCTAATTTTTCTGTTATCAAATTTGTTTGGATAGCTAAGGACTGATGTATTATTGAAGCAACTTGGTCGTGGCGATGTTTATAGTCGGTTTGGGCTATGGCTCTACATGCTCCCGTGATGTGCTGAATGGTCTCCGAAGCACCATGGCAACGTCTCCAAGAGTCATTATAGTTAGGTCTATGGATTATAAATTTTTGGTAGTTAGCTGTGTCGATGACTTGATCTTGTATGGCAACCATAAATCCCTCCGTTTCAGGGAAGAGTTCACCTCGCCGCAGCCACGCGTTCGACGCTTTCATGTCGACATGAGGTTGCTGCAGGTCGAGGCGATGTCTTCCATGGAGAGATTTATGTGTCCAAGCTGCTATTTTGTCTGTTTTACTGACTATGTGCTCATTAGCCTGGGGGTCAGGGGATTGTAAATTAAGTGGAGTGTGGTGCTTGTCAAGTTGTGAAATCAGTCTGTGAAAAGGAGATTGCTCAGCTTTCTGCAGGAGAAATTTTCTTAAATTGATTATTTGTTGGTTGTGTAGGTTTGTTATATCTATGAGGCCGCGTCCTTCTTCCTCTCTTGGCAGTGTCAATCTCTGTACACAGGACCGCGGGTGGTGCTTTCTATTGGTGGTCAAACAAGTGTTAATTAATCGTTGAAGTTTGATGAGATCGGTTTTTGTCCATTTTATAATGCCAAAAGAGTAAGTTAGTACGGGAATAGCAAATGAGTTTATGGATTTCACGAGGTTACGTGATGATAGCTGCGATCGTATTAGCATGTTGAGTCTCTGTTTGTATTTGCTGATTATTTTATTTTTGGTGTATTTTTGATCGATTTGATATGATTGCTCAAAGCCTAAGTATTTATAAGTACAGTTTGGAGACATTGGGTCTATTTCCTGACCAGACTCTAATGTGTATGGGTTACTTTCAATGTGTCGTCCCTTTCGAAGTGTAAAAGTTTTACACTTATCTATACCGAATGTCATGTTAATGTCTTCTGAGAATTTCTGTGTTAGATCTGCAAGGGAGTGGAGGCCTGCTATATCGTTACTATATAGTTTGATATCGTCCATAAATAACAAGTGTGTCAATTTTAAAGTTGGAGCAGAAGTATCCTGTATTGAGAGACCATTTTCAGAGGAGTTAAGAAGATTTGATAGGGGGTTGAGAGCAAGGCAAAACCAGAGTGGGCTTAAGGCGTCACCCTGAAAAATTCCTCGCTTAATAGGTATGAGTTCCGTTTCTATTAATTTACCTACTTTTAATTTAGTGCTCCAATGTTCCATTGTTACTGTTAAGAAATTTATAATGACAGGATTAATTTTGTAATGTTGTAGAATGTAGAGCAGCCAACTATGAGGGACAGTGTCGAAAGCCTTCTGGTAATCTACGTACATTGTGCAAATATCATTTTTTAATTTAATATTGTGTTTCATGGCTATGGAATCTATTGTAAGCTGTTCTTTACATCCCTGACTATACTTACGACATCCTTTTTGCTCCTCGGCTAGAATATTGTTATGTGTTATGTGTTTGTACATTACCTCTGAGATGCAACCAGTAATTAGTTTATAAATAGTTTGCAGGCAAGTTATCGGTCTATATTTAGCCGGGTTCATGTGGTCGGAGTCCTTGGGAATCATATAGGTTAAGCCTTGAGTGACGAATTCTGGTATAGTTTGCGGGTTTGTGATAAAATTATTAATATGTTTATAAATTGATGGGTGTAAGTAAGTTAATTTCTTATAGTAATAGTTGTGGATATGGTCGGTACCCGGAGCCTTCCAGTTGTGTGCTTTCTGAATGACTCTAACGAAAATGTCTAGTGGTACTGCATCAAATGCCATTTCTGGAACATTTTCTAATTTTTCTTTCTCAATTTGTATCCATGTAGCTGAGTAGTTGTGTTGTGTGGTTTTGGACCAAATGTTGGACCAGTAAGTGTGGAATTGTTCAGAGTTAGGATTAGTATTTTGTGATGTATGTGGTCTGTTCTGATTATTTGATGTGTCTATGGTTAGGTTTCTATAGAATTGTCTTTCGCTATTTATGAATTGAGTGTTTTGATCTTTACGCTTAGTGCAATTTGAGTACCTACGTCGCCGACTTGTAATGGCGGTGAGTTTTTGTTTTAAGCTGTCCATGAATTGTTCATTTGTTGTGTTGGGCTCTTCATAACTGGAATGCTTTCGATATTTGTGTTTTATTCTTTCAATATGTGCTATTAGTCCTAAACTTCTATTGCCGTTGATATATTGTGTTAATCTACCTATCTCTTTACGTATTATTTGTATTCTTCTGTCTAAGCGCTTCAACCAGTTCGGTCTCTTGTCTATTGTGGAGTGTTGTTGTTGTTGTGTACTTGTTGCTGGCGTTATTTCTTTGATTTTGGAACCATTACATAGAGCTGCGGTATAAGCAGCACAATATATAAGTGTGTGGGTCCTTAGGAAGTCATCTTCGACTGACCCATACTTGGGTAAAACTGTGCTATTTAAATATGAAATAATGTAAGCTAGCTTTTTTGACGTTTTTTGTTTTGGAATGAAGGGTCTCTTTGTAGGGTCTATCGGTAAATATTTGTTATAGGTTTCTTCAAAAGTGTACACAATTTTGGTATCGAGGGGTCCATCAGTAAACATAGTGTTTTGAAATTCTGTGGTATTTGTATTGTCAGTAGTATTATTTAAACCTATTTCATTTAATTCACTACAAGGGGGGAAGTTATTGGAATCGACATTTGATGTAATTACGTGTGTTTCATTATATTGTGTGTTTGCTACTGTTTGTATGTTAAGGCTGCTTCTGACTTCTTGTTTTATTTCCTCTAGTCTATTGTCTGTAATTAGTCTATTATTTATGATCACCCTACGTTGGTCGGCAATACGCTGTTCCGAAACGTGTGCGATGTTGGGAAATAGTTCTGTTATAATTGTATGTAGAGGTTTTCTTTAAGCTGTTCTATTTGTTTCTAAGTGAGTTATTTTAAAGTATTCACGAATAATTGCTTCGTTAATATCATCAGTCCATCTTAAACGAGTGCCTGAGTTGGAGGGTTGTTGTGATTCTGTATAGTGTTCTGCGTTATATCAGCATTTTGAAGAGCTGTCTGAACTTCGTTTTTGATTGATTCTGATATATTTTCGGATAATAATTTATTTCTTAAAATGGCTCGTTTCTGATCGCCTAAGCGTTGTTTAGAGACGTTTATTTCAGGAAATTTCTCGGTAAATTTTGCATATAACGGATCTAAATATCCACGGATTTTAGTGTCTAAGTGTGTAATATAGAGGTAGGTGCGCCAGATGAACTCGTTCATTTCTGTTGTCCATTTCAATCGCGCGCGAACTTGGCCAGTGGTGGGTGCAGGATTGTTGGCTACTGCCTCCTGCACAACATCCACGGTTGCAGAGTTGATAGATGTAGGTGAGGAAATAGAAGAAGAGTAAGAGAGAGTATTATAGTTTAGACAGGAGAGGGGAGAAGAAGGAAGGGAGGGAAATAGGGAAGTTGAGGATGATGGTCGGGTAACTTGTTCGGGTGACCCGGTAGGAGCCCGCTGACTTAACTCACTACCACCGATGGTTCGTATGCTGAAACGCCCAGCATCGGCTCCAGGCGTGCCCCGGCGATCGCCCCCGGGAAGCGGTCCTATACGTAATCTTTTCTTAGCTCTCGTCTCCATTTCGTCGATGGGTTACTATTGCCACGTTAGCCGCCCAGTAATATTATTTATGCGTTGCCCGCCCCCTACGTGATCTGATGTTCGATCGGGCCGTGTGGTTAGATTTCAGGGGGCTTATTATTATTATTATTACTATACTTATTATTACTATACTGAGAAAAGCTCTACTAGTTTTGCGGTCCAGTAGGTCTACTAGTTTGCGCGACCGCGCACGCTATTCGTGAGGTAGAACTCCTCTGTGGTTCGAAACTAGTAGAACTTTACACAGTATATTCACGTGAATAACCCGCGATTTTTAGTTAACACATGCTTAAGCACGGTGCTCCTCGATCTGATTGGGGATGAGAGGGAGGGGGAGGATGAGGCCTACATCTTTCTTTGAGGGGTAAAGTCATCCTAAATGGATTTTGTTTATGGGTCGACGTGCTCCATCGTAGGCCACATCATCACTTACCGCCAGGCGAGATAGTGGTCAAACGTCAGTCCCATTTAATATAAAAAAAATACAATGACTCCCCCCCCCGCCCTGTGGTGAGGCGAGTGTCTTCTGATTCTTACTGACTAAGAACAAAGTTGGTAATATACCACTGCCTGACTGGACTATGAGCACAATATCAAAATTTGTTTAGGTACCTGTTGTATATCCCCCCACATGCCCTCGCGGTCCCCCCACTGGTGCTGGAACAGGCACTGTGTGGCTGGCTCTGGCAGGTCGAACTCAGCTGGGAGCAAGTCTGGAGCTTCCTCATCTTCTGAAAGTGAAGAGTAGAAATTGATCAACATTAGGTCAGTGTTATTGGACTTATCGGTTCTTTGAAAGTTTTTAGGAATTGTATGGAATCAAGAATTGTGCCCGGTATATGGTAATAAACTCACCTACTATGACATGGGACCCATAACACAATTGCTCAAAGGTGACCATTACTTTTACTTTGAGGATTAAAAATTGAAGTAATTGTAACAGTGACTACGATAGAAAGGACATTATGTAGGTAATTATTTGTAAAATTATTATGAGTTAGTAGGCTTATGTTCTGCAATGCCCAGTGGACATATTGTAGCTGATTGAAGATCATGAAAGTGAGTACCTGTCCCCCCAGGTTCGTCATGTAGAAAAGCCTTGTTGAGCGGTGACTGCTCCGTATCACATTCCGGTTCAGCATGCACATCCTCCACACTGTAAGTCCGGTTCAGGTTGCTGCAATCACATCTAAGTATGGACAATAAGGAAGGACATAGGTACAATGTGATTTTTTTTTCTTGTGTAGAAGCACTATTTTATATGGATTGTCAGTATACATATGTGAGGACCATGTCAGACTTGAGATATTTGTTTTCTCTTGGTTTTGTTTTTTTATATTAGTATGTTCTGTTATTTGTATGTTGCGTCAGGTATGTCTTTTCATTATTCTCACATGTGTGTACAATATTGGAATATGTATCAGAGCAATGTAAAACAGACTTTTTTTTAAAAGAGTAACGAATGGAGTTTCTTGCTCGTTCTTCTCCACTCGAATCGACATTTTGGAATGAGGGCCTAGCTTCACTGACGGACAGACTGACAGACTATTATTTATTTCATATTTGTTGACGTTTCAAAAGTACCAAATTATGGTTTAATTGAAATAAATGCTTTTGAGTTTGAGTTTGTGAAGGGATGAAATTCTATGTGGAAGAATGGTAAGCAAACAAAATCAATAACCAGCTTCTACCGGTGGCTTCACATACATTCCTGGGATATAGCTTACCCCATGTGTTATTCCAGATCATGATCTACCTGTGTTCCAAAATTCATCACTATCCCTAAAGTGGTTTTGAAGTAATTCAGTAATAAATATACACACAAACTGGTCAGTGGGTCATATTAGGATTGTGACAAGGAGAGGGTGAAGTACTTAGATTGTACTGTAAGCTGTGTCATTATTATATTGAGTAAAAAAATGAAAAATAAACTTAGGTAGATGCCTAAAATATGGCCATAGGTACTTATCACTAGTTGATGTTTAATCAAATCAAATGGCCAAGGCAGTAGGGAGGTCAAGTAAGTATCAAATCAAATGAAATTATTACAAATAGGCTAGCACTACTACAAGTCAATAATAAAAGAAAATATTGCTGAGGTCGGAGCATGGTGTAGATGCGCAATAGAACGTCCAAGCATAAGTTTTCAGTCAATTACAGACCTTAATCCTTACGGTAGGCGACAAACCTCGTATGAGATAAACCAAATTATTTTTAGGAATTTCTCAGCATTTATTCATCGTAGACCAACAAGATTCGAAGAAAAGTTTACGTTACATTTGCAGGTTGTGTTTAGTTCTCACAACAAAATACATTATTGTTGCTTCATCAAACGTTGTTTATAACTTATTGTGTCGTAAAAACACTTACAATTTATTATTTGGTGTCTGCGGTCGCAAGTCTGGTTCTTTCACTGTCTTCTCGAACAGCTTCCAATTCTTTTTGTTTTTATAAAACTCTAATTTATATATAGCTACTAGCCGAGTCTTCGTTTTTTCATATTTTGCATCCATTTCGAAATAACACTAAATAATAAATCACAATAACTTTATGGTAACTGTACACTTTATTTGTTTCTTACGTTTAGTAGGTAGTTACAGAACTTACAGAAGATTTGAAAATTATATTACCGCCATATTGACATAAAATTATACCACAGACAGAGATAAAAAGAACAGAAGTAGTCATAGATTATTTAAACAGAGAGTATTTTTACTTTAGAATAAAGAAAATTAAGTTTAATGCCTATCGAATTAGATATTCTTTTGGAGAAATACAAATATTTTCTTTTAGAATGGCTATCCTAATTATTATACACCTTAATTATGTTTGGAGTCATGGTGGTTCAAGATAAAAGTTCTTAAAATAAAAGAAAACGTCATTTACCTACGTCATCGTCATATACATTGCGATAAAAAATAAAAATGCATTTTTACATTAGATAATTGTTGACTTAAAATATGTATAATTTAAATTTATAGTTTGTAGGTACAAATACTCGTCCAATACTTGACTTTAAACTCTAAACACTTACACAATATTTTATTCTATGCCCTGTAAGAACCTAATGATAACGAAATACGACCTCAGCGTTTAATTTTGCTACCTTTTGATTTCTTATAAACTGCTACGTAGGTAGGTATGTGTGGCGTGCTATATTTTGTTACCACCTAGGTACACAGTACAACAATCTGAATAACTGTTGAAACTACTGGTAAATTTGTTAAAACCCAATGTGCTAGGCAGATACTGTTTACTGCCGAAATAAATAGGATTAATATTAAACTTAGAGATATTATTTATTTAGATATTGCTAATACAATTAAGACATCATTAACTCCTTTCACGGAACATTAGAGGTAGTCCAGCTCTGATGCTCTGTACCAAGGAAGAATGAGGATCCACGACAGGATTCTTGAGCGTTTCCTTAGCGGGCTCCACTGTGAAACAGGACAGGATTGCCGCTAGGCCGGCCAAGGACTGCATGGCACCCAACCGTTCACCTGGAAAAATAAAAGGTATTTTTATATTACGTACAAAAATGCAAAAACATGCAGTATTCTGAACTTAGTGGTATTTAAAGACGGATGTATCATGCATTTTAAGCTTCACCAAGCTTTTGTTTAAATTGGTCGAGCGTGCAGACTATTTAGGTTGATGTAGGTTCACTAAACTGTTTAACCTGTTTACTGTATTTAGGTATTAGAACAAAAGTCACTTACCTATGCAAGCTCTGGGTCCTGACCCAAACGGCATGTAAACGTATTTGTTGTTAGTGTCATACTCGTCGGGATCAAACCTCTCTGGGCGGAAGACTTCAGGCTCAGGGAAGTATTTGGGATCATTGTGCATTGACTGGAGTGGGATCAGCACGCGCACGCCCTCATCTATCGAAAAGTTCAACTCCGGGAATGTGAACGCTTTTGTACACTGGCGGAACAAGAACCCGAGAGAAGGGAACATTCGCATCCCTTCTTTGAACACGTTCTCCAAGTAGTGCATCTCTTTGACTGCGTCGTACGACAGCTTCCCGTCGTGTTTGGCCAACACGCGGTCGATCTCCTCCTGCGCCTTCTTCTGAACGTCCTGGTGATATGCTAGCTGATGTAGAGTATAGCTGGTCGCTGATGACGAGGTCTCGAAGCCAGCAGCGAAGAACACAAACACTTGAGCAGCAATTAATGCATCATCGATTTCTAGTGTTGCAGTGTCAGGGGTGCCGTCAGGCTTTTTCTTTTGAATTGACTCGCCGACTATGACCCCCTTCTGTTTACACTCCAGCATTAGATCTATAAAGTCACCCCGTCCGCAGGGCTTATAGTCTCTCTTCCTCAAAATCTCTACGACAAGCTCATTGATCTCATTCTCTATTCGAGTCCATACTTTCAGATTTCTGAACATTTCGGGAAATAATTCTTTTGCTACTCCTTTTACGATATCCATAGTTCTTATTTTAAAAATGTTTACACCGAGCTGTCTAAACGCGGAGTTCTCATCATTGAGTGAGTCTGAATCAAGCCCGAACCCGCAGGCTCCTATGAAGTCAGTGGTATACCTCGCCATTAAGTCGCGCGCGTCCAGAGACTTGCCCTCAGCGGCCGCAGTCAGCGCTCGAGTCTTCAGTTTTTCTGCTCTCTCAACTATTAGCGGGAACATTGCCTTCAGTTTGCCCGTAGTGAAGGCTGGCGTCATTCTCTGTCTGAGCAGCTTCCAGAGATCTCCTTCAGCAAAGAACAGGTTCTGCATCAGAGGCTCGAATACGGTGTTGTGAGGGTTGAAACCTCTCTCGAAGAAATGAGCAAAGTCTGTGATTAATATTTTTTTCGCAATTTCTGCATCTCGTATAATTAATTCTGGACGCGTGGAGCGAAGAAAACCGACGACTTTTTCATTGGTATACCTCCAGTACAGCTCGTCAGCTACTTGTGTCATACTGGCTTTCCCAAAGTATTCCTTGTAGTTGTTCCCGACAAGGAAGTAAGGTTTGTCATACTTGACACCTCTTTTCTCCCAATAATTGAAGTTTCTTGTCCCATAAATGTAAAGAGTGATCAGTAGGACCACAACAATAGCGATGAAAATCATGTTTAGATTTTTGATTAAGTATTACAAACGGTGCTTGAATCCACTTGACTGTGTCATGAAGTGTTTATATGATCTGCAACACAAACAATTTTATTAATAATAAAACTTTATTAATAAAACTGTAGCGTACTATTTGGATAGAATCGTAAATGAGTAAAAACGGTAAGTGGGTCATCTTAGGAGCTAATTTATAAAACTATATTTCTTGGAATTTTATAATTATAGGTAAGTAGGTATATTCACTTTATAGGTTCTTGATAGATTACTAGGCTACGATACTCCCTACTGGCCCTATCTGGAAGTCATTGGGGGAGGCCTATGGTCAGCAGTAGCAGATGATATGCACTTTATACCTCAGTAGTTTAAGTTGCTAATTGCGTAGCAGGAAATCTTGAATGAAAAGTACGAGCTTAGGTACTTGACCGAAATTTCGAGTTGACTAAAATCATTTTCCCACAACATGCTCAATTATATCTGCATAAGACAGAGATAGTGTTATCTAATAATCTTATTTGTTTTCGTTGTATTCTAGAATCAGTTGTTATAATGTGTTATTACATAGATAAACATTGATCATAGATTTTCATTAAAGTATGTATTTTTTACAGATAAAAAATTGACAAGACCTTCTACTAATTTTTCACTAAGTATTAAGTTATCCTTACTAATATTATAAATCTGAAAGTGAGTTTGTTTGTTTGTTCCACCTTCACGCCGTAACTACTCAACCGATTGCTTTGAATTTTTGCAGACGTAACGTTAGAAGTCCGGATTAAATAATATATACTTTTTAACCCGGAAAAATTGATAACAAAAGAATTGGTATGGTATAGATGGCGCTGTGTGTATTGGTATATGTCACATAGGCTACTTTTTATTCTTTTGTGACGCGAGCGAAGCCGCGGGTAAAAGTTAGTTGTGAATAAATAAGGGGTCTCGGGTTCTAAAAATATTACTGGATTTAAAAAAAATCTCAGTAGTAGCACGGAGTCTGGAAATGTGCCCGGTATATGGCAATAGGATAGGCTCACCCTCTATTACATGGCACTCATAACATAAATAGTGAAAAGTGGCAGTTGCATTGTACAGTGGCATTAAGTGCCGTAATGTGCACCTCTGTCTTCTTCTCCGGGGATAAAAGGCGTGAAGAAGTTATTAAAAAAGTGCTCTAGCTTAGTTGATGCACAAAAGTTCATTTCAAGTGAGTTAATTTGAAAGAATAATTGTATAATTATTTTTAAATAATTTCTTAGTTTACCTTAATAAATATAACCGAGATTTAATAAATTATCACTGAGTTCCACAGTTCACTACAAGTTCAACGTTTGACTTCCAAAATGCGAATGTCCTGTGTTTATGCACAAAATTGTTCATTTATGTATTTGCAGCGCAAACAAGATAGCACTGAACAATTTGCGCACGGCATAACAATATGAGAAACAGGTGTTTGTTCATTGATAAAAATAATAAAAATAATGATAAAAAATTACTCATTGTTTTCCTTGACGAAGGTTCAAAGGTCAGCAAAAGTTTGGCTGTACTGCATCGTTCAATGCTTAGTCTTTGGACCTGAAAATCCAGCGCTCCAATAGTCAAATTCAATACTTTTTTTCTATATGTCAATCAAACACAATGGCATGTTCGATTATTTTTACGTTATGAAATTCCACAAAGTAACATTAATAGATGTTGGTCATACATAAATTAACACAACGGGAACTAATATCGTTTAATTTTAAAATCATTTTGTAATTATGATGTTGTAAAGTTTTTTGTAAAAAAAGAAGTTCTTACGGACAATGTTACAGATGTTCACACTGTTCGAAAAAGGATTTTACTTGACTGACGTAACAGAAAGTATATTTTTTTCAAAATTAAAACGTTCGCTAAAATCATTAATACCTATTGCATATTTGCAAGCGTACTAAGTGACTCTCATATTTAGGTGCATTACGAACTAACATAATTGCATATTTTACCCGTAATTATTAAACAGAAGATGCCTTATAGATACCGTACGACCGTACCGAATTGATTGATAGAAAGCTCCACAATATTGGATATAAGAAGCCTTGTAGTTAGGCTTTAAACAAAGAGTATAATAAGTATAGGGGGCTTTAAAAGCCATTATGTAGCCCTAGATGACACGTGCTTTCCAAGGCACGGGGGTGAAACACCGATAAACTTCCTGACTACGGGCTAAAAGTAGTGATTTTGCTCAGAAAATGCCATTATCACGTTTTGGACCGCGTGGGAATGGAAATTGACCCGCTTTGCACTGGTGCCGGTCACCCAAGCACTGCCAACCGTGTAGACCACCATACTTCACCACAGATGGGGCCTAACAGGGTTGATGCCGATACGGAGCGGCGGAAGACTTAACGGGTTGCTGGGGCTCCGGCTCGAAGTATAGGAGTAGGAACGGGGTGGTTTTTAGTCAGTAAGAGTGACACTCCCTCTCGCCTCACCCGGGCGGGACAAAGTCATTGGATGATTTTCCCCCCTCAAAAAACAAAAAAGGGGTTAGGTACCTACGCTATACTATTAACTCGTCGAATACCGGTTTTATAGACACAATTAAAGAACAATAGGTCGCGGTCACCGGTGACCGCTTGGTATTTGACAGATTAATATACCAGAGTCCAGGCCATAATATTATAGAATCGGTTTAATATTTCTGTGGTCCAGGCTCTATTCAGCTTCTATAAATTACCCACCTACTCACACATTATCAAAATACCTAGAAATTCCCAATATTCCGTCGTGTCCAATAATAATGATGTTGTGGTGCCCGCCCGCTTCTCATGCATGATGGTGCGGGTTCGAAACCGAACCACGGCAAGTATCAATGTGACTTTTTCCGAGTTCTATGTACTTTCTAAGATTATCTAGACACCACTGACAAACGGTGAAGAAAAACATCGTGAGGAAACCTGGGCTTCTTCTTTCTAATTATAAGTTTGTAATTGCCTACCCGCATTGAGCAAGCGTGGTGATTAATGCTCAAACCTTCTCCGTGTGAGAAGAGGCTTTGCACAGCAGTGGGCATTTATAGGCTGTTGATGATGGTGATGAACTACCTATTATACCTTTTTTCATATTGCAGACTTTCTGCCTATATTACTGCATATTTTGTTACTACATATTTTTAACCGACTTCAAAAAGGGAGATTCTGTTTGACCTGTATGTTTGTATGTGTGTGTGTGCGATTATCTCGCGATCGTCTTCGAACCGATTTTGATACGGTTTTCAGAAAAGTCTTTGTTACAGTCTTTCTTAGGCTGTCAGTATATTAATTAGCCGACTTTAGAAAAGAGGGGATTGAAGTCAGTTTTTTTAAACGGAGTTTATAAAAAAAATATTATTATTTTTGTTTGTGCATGTACGTATCAATAGTACAATGTCCAATTCTATTTAAGTATCCAGTGTTTACCAAGTGACAAGTGATTAATAATAATGTCGTATGTTTAATTACCTACCCAGGAATGCAAAGCCACGATTTATCTGTTTTGCCGATGATCGTAAGTAATCGATTATTCGTCTGATTCATTTTGATAAAATGTTCGAGTAATATGTAAACAGCGCGTGTAAACATTTTTTACTTCTTATCATTTTGATTAGAGATATAAATACTGCTGTTGTTGGCAACTGCAACTTCGAAGGGGTCTCACTGACTCAAGTTATGTGAAAAGCATTTTTTTTATATTGGACTTTTCCGTACGTCATTTCGTACCGTTTGTTGTGATGACCTGGAGGTTTAAGACCCCCGCTTGCCATGTACGAGGGCGCGGGCTCAAAACCTACCAACGGCAAGTAGGTACCAATGTGTCTTTTCCGAGTTATATTTTCTAAGATCATTTATACACCATTGACAAAAGGTGAAGGAAAACATACTGAGCTTATAATTTCTAAAGTACAAGTTTGAAATCACCAACCCGCATTAAGCAAGCGTGGTGATTAATGCTCAAACCTTCCCCATGTGAGAAGAGGCCTTTGGTCAGCCGTGGGCAGTTATAGGCTGTTGATGTTGATAGGGGTTTTAGAACCCTCAATGTTTATTTGTGATCCCCGTGCAGCCTTGTTGTCATTTTTTAAGCGGGAACCAGAGAGTTTCTCGGGTTCCTCCCTACTTCTTATGTGTCTATGGCTCGATGCCGTCATTTAAATACCTATAATAAACAGGTTGTATTTGGCCGGGTCGTCACAGTTAGTTATGGGACTCACAGATCCAATGACTAACGAAAAATCTTAGGTATATGAATGTTGTCATATTGTCTTAACATAGTCATTATACCCGAGCGTACGGCGCGTCGCGTTCCGCGCGCGCCTCAAAGAGCCATCAGACCACCACAGATGGGGCTCAACAGGGCTGATGTCGATTCGGAGCCGCGGAGAACCTAACGGGTAACCGCGGGCTCCGGCTCGTCGCGCAGGAGAAGGAACGGGGTGGTTTTTAGTCAGTAAGAATCTGACACTCCCTCCCGCCTCACCCAGGCGGGAGCAGTCATTCGATGATTTACCCCACTTAAAAAAAAAAACATAGTCATTATACAATTTTGATCTTAAGCCTAGAATTATAAAAGCGTTAAGAATTTCCAAACTATCTGATGTTTCATCGTTTATTTATTTCGGGTTTTCCGACAATTCAGGTCTTAGATAAATAAGGAAAAAACGTTATCATTATTGACGTAAAAATATGTTTAGACTAGCTATTGCCCGCGATTTCGCTTGCTTTTTTCCAATATTAACGGACTATTGGTCTGTGCCCTTGTCATTTGCTTGCCAACTTTCAAGAGGTTGGGGGTATTTAATAAAAAAAATTATGCATGAATTTTTAAGCTTAGATTAGCTTTCTACCTTGATAGTTACCGAACGGCTCCATATAGGTAAACTTCAACTTTTATATTAGGGAAAAAAGGGGTTAAAAAGTAGCCTATGTCACTCTCCATACCTTCAACTACCCGGAGGACACGGTGGAGCATACGGTGGCGGTGTGCCCTACCTGGGCTAAGCACCACCGTGTCCTCAGATATGTGATCGGCGACGGCGACCTCTGGCTTCCAGCTCTAGTTCAGACTATGGTACAGAGCGAGGAGCTAGCTAAGAAGGAGACGCGTGAGGGGTCGAACCTCCTTACGCCCCAGCCGTCGCGAGAGACACTCTGGGCGTCGGGGATTGCGAGACCATCTACGTCCGCCGTAAGCAGATAAAAATCCCTTCAACTCAAAAAAAATCACGTCAATTCGTCGCTCCATTTTGCTGTGAAAGGCGGACAAACAAACAGACACATACACTTTCACGTTTATAATAATGAGTAAGTATAAAAGCGTGGATCGTGTAGCAACAGATAAGTATGAGTAATTATCTTCAGTGTATAATTATAACTGTAGGTATGTTTGGCGTACCTTTGTTCGTGTTTTATCTAAAGAGTAAAAGTCCAAAGTATATGTTATTGTTTTTAACTCCCACCAGTGGCGTAGCGGAGCCCTGTATAACAATTAGTATTGGATGATGGAAAGGACTAGGGGGAATCAAGTTGTACAATCCCCCGGACACTCACTAAAATGTATCCGGTAGAAAGATTTTGGTAAACCACATAAAAGTTATTTTAACATAACATCACGCCTTTTATCCCCGAAGGGGTAGGCAGAGGTGCACGTTACGGCACTTAATGTAACTGTACAATGTAACACCCACTTTTCACTATTTATGTTACGAGTCCCATGTAATAGGGGGTGAGCCTATTGCCATATTAAGTTGGTAATAGTAAATAAAACACACAAGGAGGTAATCTCAAAAAATAATCTTTACTTACAACTTCTTTACACATTCACACGCATGCGCACTGCGAGACAACACCATTTCATAGAAAATTAACAAAATTCTTGACATAGGGACCATTCATAGATAACAAAATTATTATATTCATTTCTTTGTCCATCTGTTACAATACAGAACATATTAGACGTATTTTATATTTGTCTTTAAAAAAAACTTAGAATTTCTGTCCTGCGTCCTGAAATTCTAGACTCGAAATATTAGTAGATATTCAGTGCGGGAATCGAAGTACACACTGTATAGCAGCGAGTCACCCAACCACTGGGCTAACAGTCAAACTTCAACATTTTATACTTTTTTAAAACACGTGTCTAATACATAACCAAAATCTAGCAAACAGGACAAAATAGATGTTAAAACCAATCCCTATATAAAATAAAAATTAATTAAAATAATAAAACATCAAGGAACAAGAGAACAGTATAAATATATTATGTACACACACACAGACAGACGCCTCGCACTCAAATTGGTAAAAAAATTCTAAAAAGCCACTAATTTCATGCACTTAACTGATTATTTGCGAAATATTTCGCATTCCGACGACAATGAGATCATACTTTATATAATATTGTGAACTGCACTTTGATAAAACATAAACAAAAAAAAGAAATTAAAAAAAAATCAATCTTATTACATACTAGCTTTTACTAACGACTTTGCTCGCGTTTTGAGGATAAAAAGCAGCCTATATGTTATTTATAGACTACTATCTATATCTATACAAAATTTCATTCAGATATGTTCAGTAGTTTATGCGGTAAAGAGTAACAAACATACACACAAACTATTGCATCAATACTAAAATTATAAAGCTGCTAAATTTGTTTGTTTGTACGCGTTAATCCTTTTTTTTATGGATTAGGAGGCAAATGAGCGGTCAGATCACCTGATGGTAAGCGATCAGCGCCGCCCATGGACACCCGCAACACCAGAGGAGTCACAGGTGCATTGCCAGCCTTTGAAAAGGGAATCTCAGGAACTACTGGTACGAATTCAATTAATCTTTTTGTGTTGGATAGTCCATTTATCGAGGAAGGCTATGGGCTATAAAACATATCGCTACGCGCAATAGGAGCCGAGCAGAGCGGGTGAAACCGCGCGCAAGTAGCTAGTATAGTACAATTTCTACGCAAGTAAATTCGCGGGTATAAAGCTAGTTATATAATAAGGTTGAAAATCCTTTGAAAAATTTGATAGATTAACGACATATTTTGTACTAAAGTTAAATACATATAGAGCAAGGAAAAAGACACTTAAAGACGAATAAGTATTAAAATAAATGGTCAAAGATAGTATGTTAATATTTTAAATAATTTTAAAATTAATGTAAAATATAACATTGAATATTTATTTCTTATTTTGAGCCCATATTCAATACGTAATAAAACAATGTAATATTTAAAAAACTCAAATTATCTATAGACATCATTTATGATATGTTGCATTGGTCTTTGAGAAGATTTTCAGAACAAATTATGTTTATATATACATTAATAATACTATAGTAGAGCTAATAGGGAACATAGACCCTAATACATTAAACTTTAAGTTGGTTTTTGTATAACTAAATGCAATATTAAGAAGTTATTTTGCTAATGAAGAGTATACTTTGTAACTAAAGAGATAAAGTCTAATGTAGCTCTACTTTACAATCTCGGAATAGTATGACAAGTAAACAAAAATATACTAGCAAGTGTTACCAGAGTAAAAAATAAAAATAATACTAAGTAATAATAAACAGTATGAACATAATATTTCTGACGGAAACGGAAGCCCGGGGTGAGTTAGTTGCATGAAACTAGTGGCGCCACCTAGCGACTCACTAACGACAACTTTAGAAGAATTTCTTCGCTTGCGCTTCTTTTCTTTCTCTGTGGACAAACAAAAAATAAAATTATTAAACAAAATTAAATAAACGTGTTTCTTGAGAAACTACATTAGGTTCATAGTCAGCCGTTATCTCCACGCTTGACAGATTAGTTGCAGATTACAGTTTTGAAGGTTTTTTTTTGTAAAGGGGGGAAAATCATCGAATGTCTGCTCTCGCCTGGGTGAGGCGGGAGGGAGTGTCAGACTCTTACTGACTAAAAACCAACCCGTTCCTACTTCAGCAAGTCGAGCCGGAGCCCCGGCAACCTGTTAGGTTCTCCGCGACAGTTTTGAAGGTTTTGGTTAATTAGAGAGCACTGTAGCTATTTTTAAAACGCTATGAAATAGCAAATTTTAAAAATCCTATGAGAGCGCCAACTCGCCATAGTCGGGAAAAGTTGCTTTGTTTGTATGTTTGCCTGTCAATCACGCTGAAACTACTGAACGGATTTTGATGAAATTTGGTATTTACAGTCAGGGTATGGGCTGACTTTTTTTTGCCCCACAACAGACATTTTTCCTGTGTCGTGTATGCGTTTACAAACATACAAGTTAACATATATATCACACACAGACCCGGAACAACAATCTGTGGATCACACAAAGAATTGCTCCGTGCGGGAATCGAACCCGCGACACGTTGCGCGGCAAACAGTTGTGGAGCCACTGAGCCAGCCGCGCCGTCAATTGAGGTGATAGGATACTTGTTATCCCGATTAAATACCCCAAGTGATAAAACAGGGTTGTAAAAGTCGCGGTGGCCCGGAGGTTTAAGACGCCCTCTTCTCATGTATGAGGATGCGGGTTCGAAACCTACCAACGGCAATTACCAATGTGATTTATTCCGAGTTATATGTACTTCCTAAGATTATCTAGATACCACTGACAAACGGTAAAGGAAAACATCGTGAGGAAACCTGGGCTTATAGTTTCTGATTATAAGTTTGAAATTGCCAACCCGCACGCTTGCTTAAAGCGTGGTGATTAATGCTCTAACCTTCTACGTGTGAGAAGAGGCTTTGCTCAGTAGTGGGCATTTATATGCTCTTGATGATGATAAAAAAAAGGAATCATATTGTGTAATAGGTAGTGAATAATAGTTACTTGTAGATGGCGTAGAACAACATGAGCGTGAGTTGCGCGGCCACGACGACGAGGAGGCCGGTGAAGCTCACGCAGCTCGCCTCCGGACACGAAGACATCGGCTGCGACTGGGGACTGCCCGACGATATCCTGGAACACACGGATTGGGGATTGTTACTCAGGTCATACATTATACTCAGGGACGTAACTACACCGTGTAGAAAAATAGAGAAGTTCAGATGAGAATCTCTGAACGTGGCCCCGCCAGTTAGGGGCGCGTGGCAACTTGTTGACTTGCCACCCTGCAGTTACGCCACTGATTATACTTACTGTTGTACTCAAAGACATTGAATGATTACTTAAACGTAATATAACATCACGCCTTTTATCCCCAAAAGGGTAGGCAGAGGCATTATGCCACTGTACAATGTAACACCCACTTTTCACTATTTATGTTATGAGTCCCATGTAATAGGGAGTGAGCGTATTGTCATATACCGGGCACAATTCCAGACTCTGTGCTACTACGGAGAATTTTTTAACCCGCTAATACTTCGTCTTGAACCTGAGACCCCTTGCCCGGCAGTCGCACTTGCGACCATTAAGCCAACGAAGCCGTGAAATACAAAAACTGTCAAGTAATAATTTATTTTGAATAAAAACTGTTTGAAAATCCAGTCTATGTTTTAACATTTGATTTTAATTGTGTCAATAATTTTACATGCTTATGTATGTATATGTGTTTACTATCTATTGATTATTTATTTATGGAATATTATTATCTAGAAAAAAAAATACAATAAAATATATTTACCTCTGCGCGACTCCAGTGACGGTAGCCTTGACCTGGTTGATGGAGTCTCTCATCTCGTTGAGGAACTGCGGGTTGATGGCACTGCCACCGCTGCCACCGCCGGCCACCATCGCGTCCGATTTACGAGACACCTCGATTATGAAGCCTCTGTACATGGAGTAGAGGTGGTTTTAGAATAACACATATTACACACATACAGTAACATTGATTAATAACTAGCTTTTACGCGCGGCTTCGCTCGCGTCACAAAAGAATAAAAAGTAGCCTATGTATACACACAGCGCCATCTATACCAATACTTTTGTTTTTCCTCGGGAATATCAATTTTTTCCGGGTTAAAAAGTACCCTATTATTTAATCCGGACTTCTAACTTTACGTCTGCAAAAAATCAAAGCAATCGGTTGAGTAGTTACGGCGTGAAGGTGGAACAAACAAACAAACAAACTCACTTTCAGATTTATAATATTATAAGTAAGGAAGTAAGGATCTATGGGGTAATACAGTTCGAGTATACAAGGAAATAGAGATGATTTTACCATAATACACATTATTAATAGGGTAGTTGTGAAATTAAAAGTCTAATTAGTCCGTAAGTTAGGTAATGAAAAAATATTAGACACGTATTTTTTTTTTTATTTTCTTGTATGAAGTTACAATACTTAGGTAAAATGGGAGTCTAGGTTTAGGAGTGGAGTGGGAGTAGTTGTGACGTCACACGATATTTAAAATTAATATATCGTAGAAAGTATTTAATTTTGGAAGAAAATAAAAAATACGTGTGTAATATTTTAAAATAATCTACCAGACGGGCATTAGTGTATATAATCTTTATATATGTAATTCTTCTGTGAGTGTGTATGTCACTGAACTTCTCTCAAACGACTGGAGCGATTTTGATGAAATTTTTTGTGTATGTTTAAGGGGAATGGTTTAGAATCACAAATCAGCCCGGCAGATGGCGCTGCAGTCGGTGTCTAGGTTATTTATGCTAAACGGCTGAACTAATTTGAATGAATTTTTGTTTATACATTCAAGTGGATATGCAGGACAACGTCTGTCGGGTCCGCTAGTATTAATATAGTAAAATGTAGCCTCACTTGAGCTCCGCGATGGTGTTGATCATGATCTGGTTGTTGGCCACGAGCGCGTCCCAGTCGTGGCGACCTATTGGCAGCGCTGGCATCTGGAATAGCATTTGTTATAATTATTATCAATATATTCACTATAAAACATAATATTCATCTTTTGATCATCTTATGGATGTGTCAAGTCCAAGAAGAAGATGTAACGAACCTAGTCCACAATTGGATTGAGATGGTTTATTAATTTAGTAAAGTCAAAGCATTTATTACAATTACACCATAATTTGGTACTTTTTAACCGACTTCAAACAAAGGAGGAGGTTCTCAATTCGACTGTATTCTTTTTTTTTTAAAGGGTCAACAAATACATAATAGTCAGTCAGTCTGACCGTCACAGTGTAGCTAGGTGCACATTCCAAAATGTAGATTCGAATGGAGAAGAACGATCAAGAAATTCCGCTCGTTACGTTTAAAAAAAATATGTTTTACAGTTTCTCTAATATATTATCCAATATTGAATAAACCACAATGAGATACCAATGAGAACAATGTAAATACACGTTGACGTATTATCGGATTGGGTATTTGCCGTTATCAAAAATAAATCATTTCGACTGTTCAATACAATAAAATATTAAAAAATAATCACGCTATCATTAATTCATTTTATGACCAACTTAATTCTAGCAAATTTTTGTAGGTGTTACATTGTACGGTGGCATTAAGTGCCCTAATGTGCATTTCTGCCTACCCCTTCGGGGTTAAAAGGCGTGATGTTATGTTATGTTTCATAATGGTATTTTTGTAGTTGTGTTGTACGAAGTTTACCAGGCCAGCTATGAATAAAGTTATTAATAAAGATTTTATTATTATTTATTGACAACTCGACCTTAATCTGCGTCAAAATGGCACAAAATGATAGACAATGCACAGAGTCGTAGTTTCCTAGACAAGTGCCGGGCGCCGGGTACAGAGGGCGTGTGCCCAACTGCCCATAAAGTGACGGCGCCAAAGTAAATTAGGGGCGCCTATAAGGTGCTTGCCTAGGACGCTCACTAGGTTAAGTCCACGTGTGACAATGCGTGGTAGTACAAGTGCCCGACGAGTGCGAGAGCGACTGCACGGTTGGCACGGTGGCTGGGCAACTGACTGCCACGTAACGTGTCGCGGGTTCGATTTCCGTACGGAACAACTCTTTGCGTGATCCCTTCCCCCATCCCCAATTCCTGAATCCCCAACGATCCTCAAACTCCTAATCTCCAAAGGCCGGTAACGCGATTGTAACGCCTTTGGTATTCCAGGTGTCCATGGGCGACGCCGATTGCTTACCATCAGGTGATCCGTCAGCTTGTTTACCGGCTTATGCCATAAAGAAAGAAAGCAGGTCGTACCTGCGCGGGCGGCGCGGCGCCGGGCTGCAGCGGCTGTCCCTGCGTGTGGGAGTACACGGCCGTCAACATCGACAGGGAGTTCATCTGCTTGCCTATCACCTGCAATACGACACATAGCAATACAGTACATGCCACATTTTTATTTTAATGTAGGTATGAGTTGTTGAATGATTCTCACAACTTGAAGTCTAGATTCACTAAACTAACACGTCGACTATATTATCAACTAAACTAATGATTGATGAGTACTGATGTATTTGAGTGCTGAACATGTACTGAATACAAATTTATTGCTATAACTATAATGAAATTAATAAACTAAAATCTGCTGACATGAAGCGCGCGTGCGTGTGATGTACAGTCGCTGACTCGTACAATGTCCGTCTGGTAGAATATTTTAAATCATTACACACGTATTTTTTATTTTCTAACGGAACGAATATGTACTTTTGACGATATATTGATTTGAAATGCCCCGTGACGTCACTTCTATGTACATTCTATACGTAGAAATGACGTTTTAGCCCCCACTCCTAAACTTTGATTCGTTTTATCTAAGTATTGTGTTATTATACGACAAAATAAAAAAATACGTGTCTAATACTTTTTAATTACCTAACTTACGGACTAATTAGAGTTTTAATTTTCATACCCTGTCACCATACCAATGATATAGTTCATATTTGAAGTCATAATCTTACTAATCCTACCACCTTATATTAAAAATTACGAAAATTTGTGAGCTTGTTCATTTGTCCGCGTTTCACGACAAAACGGAGCGACATATTGATGTAATTTTTAAATGAAGTTAGTACAAAGGATGACAGTGACATAGGCTTTTTTTAAAGGTGGAAAATCATCGAATGACTGCTCCCGCCTGGGTGAGGCGGGAGGGAGTGTCAGACTCTTACTGACTAAAAACCACCCCGTTCCTTCTCCTGCACGTCGAGCCGGAGCCCCGGAAACCCGTTAGGTTCTCCGCGACATAGTGACATAGGCTACATTTGTCTTTTTCTTTTCAGTCATACTCGACACTTTTCGTTCAAGCTCAAATATTTTCGGAAATTCTTCTAAGCTTTAAGTTTTAATCAAGCTCAAATATTTTCGCGCTAATTCAAATCTTTTCCGGCAAGCTCAAAACTTTTCAAATATGCTCAAATCTTATCGAGCTATTCTCGAAACTTTTCAAGGCCTTACGGCTGGACTTGTAGGCTAATCTTATACTATTATAAAAAGCGGAAGAGTTTGTTTGTTTGTTTGTTTGAACGCGCTAATCTCCGAAACTACGGGTCCGATTTGAAAAATTCTTTCTGTGTTGGATAGCCCATTTATCGAGGAAGGCTGTAGGCTAAAAAATCACGCTACGATTAATAGGCGCCGAGCAGAGCGAGTGAAACCGCGAAAAAGTAACTAGTGATGATATAAAGGATGGTAAGATAGGATATTTATTTAGTAAAACACGAGTAGATACAATCAAGCCGTTGACGTACCTCATCAATCTTCTTGTTAAGTCCCCTCAACACGTCGTGTATCTGGTTCTGTCCTTGGAAGATCTGTCGCAGCTCGCGCTGAGCGTCCGACTCGAACCAGTCGTCGAACTCGCCGTCCTTGTCGCGCACCTGTAATTGTATAGCGTTAGAGAGAGACGGGTATATGTTTCTTAAGACGGTATCATTTAATTAATTTCCTTTTAATTTTTGTACTTGTAAAGAGGAAACATTTACATGACGATATTTTCTGACTTTCATTAACCTATAAGCGACATCTAAGGTAAAAGGTTATTTTAGGTGCTCCCTCGCGCTAAGTAACTCTTATACAACATGTAACGTAATTAACGCACACCCTCAAACACCCCAATTAGAATATTTATTTATGTTATAATCATAATACATACACTAAATTTTTAATTTAACATGTATATGCATCCTTACTGGTCTTGTCATAAGGTTTATTTTTCTTTATTTTGTATGGAATGATACAATTTGTATGAATACAAATAAAACTGCGATTTTAAAAGTCTTATTGCTTTGACTTACGGTCTATTTCGATTTGTTTTAACAATACAGGGTTAATATGACAATAATTTCCGTAGTTTTAATTATTTTTGGGATAAAAAATACTATACTAAAAATTATATAAATCGATTCAGTTAACGATTCTGAACAAACTATTTTCAGGATGTGCGTTATTTAAGTTACATGTTGTATAGGAGTTCTTTCATTCAGAAATCTAGTACTGCATTATGAGTTAAAGTATCTCTTTTTTTATGGAAGTCAATCAAAACAGTTATTCTTTATTATAACTCCTTGAGACATTATTATAACTATTACGGTCTAGAAACTACTCTGGGCTCTCGTCAAACAGTTACGTGAGTAAGCAGAAAACACTCACAGTTTTTATCACTCTACAATAAGGTTGAAATTCCCACTTAAAGTACAATTTACATACCTCATCAGGATGTTCCTTCCTGTACTCTTCCTTCTGCTGCTCCAGCTTCTTCTGGTACTCCTGGTACTCCTGCGACAGCTTCTGTTGCTCGTCAGTGCTCATCTGCTGACCGCCGCCTGCAAGTGAGGGAGGGAGGGAGGGAGGGAGTGAATGAATGAGTGAGTTTTAACTTTGCAGCGCTGGTATGATAAAACTATTTATTTTACGAAAAGTTGATAACAAATAAATTATAAGTGTAGGGAAATTCTGTGTAGTCTAACTTTGTAGTACTTAAATGATTTTCGTGTGAATAAATTATTAATGGGCGCCATATTTATGCAATTAGACTTAAAAATAGATGTGCAATATTTATCGCCAGGTAATGGACTAGTGGATACTGTAATGTAGTAAATTAGATTGTGTGATGAGTCAATGAGTGAGTGGCAGTGGGTGAATGAGTAAGTTACCAGTCTGTTGCTGCGTGTGGAGCGAGGTGGTGAGTAGATGTATGACGTCGTGGTCGTCCGCCAGTCCCCCGGTGGCGGCGGACAGGCCGAGGTATCCTCCGCGGGGGAGGACTACGTTCTCAGCACGGAAACACAGCTCGTAGTCCGCCTCGTTGTTCGTCATTCCTGGGGATTAACGCAAAGGAACTTGTTACATAACAGACACACAAGATAATTTTTTAAGTTTAACTGTTTTTGAGTTCTATTCTACCAATCAAACCTTTGCGTTTGATTTTCAAAATGGAGGTAGTTGTGGTACATTAGATATTGTCATCAAGATTATATGTGTGTATCAAATATCAGCTCGATCTGTGGCCAGGGGGTGGTTCACCAACAAACTGGGCAAATGGACGCGCGGTCGCGGCGGTGTCGTGCAGTCTACTGACCGCACATTGCTACTCATGAGGAAGAACCCCTCTGTGGTACGAAACTAGTGGAGCGTTTCTCAGTATGTACTATATTATTAAAGGTGTACAATAAAGTTTTATTCTATTCTACATTCAAGTGAGTTATCCCCGGTTTTAAGTTAATTTGGTTTGTTTAAATATTACCTCAAGATAAGTGACAGTTTAGAGGATTGGAGAAAACAGGCACACAAGTACTAGGGCATCAGAATTGTGTAGTAGGTCGCGTGTATTATGTCTTACCATTGTGGAAGTAGACAGTGAGAGTGTTGAGGTAGTACTCGATGCGGGCGCGCGTCGGGAACGGCTTGTTGCGGAAGTCGCGCAGGCAACCAGACAGGAGCTGCTGGGAGCCGTCGCTGGAAACAAGACGGTCATAGGTTATTACAAGCGATGCGGTGAGTAGTATTAGTAAATCAGGCACATGTTTAGTTGGAAATGGGCAGCGAATGTCGACACATTATTACAATAAGTTTAAACACATTAATGTACAATTGTATCGTAGTTAAACATGGTTATGAATTTCAATTTCGCTAAAACTAAATGTCGACGTAATATTCTTATGTCGGAATACTGAAACGTTACTCAATTTTAAGTCGTGCTTAAATATCGTGCCATCTCTGTTATTTTACAAAGAATTTGTAGAGACAGAACTATACTTAAGCGCGACTTAAAATTGAGTAGCGTTTGAGTATTCCTACAATAGTAGTATAAGGGAATTTGGTAGAACCTAGCCTAAATGTAGGTCGCTTCCAATGTGCCTATCTGGAAGTTATTGGCCTATGTTCAGCAGTGGACGTCCTATTGCTTATTTTTTTATGGGATAAGCCCCCGCAACCTCCCAAAACCGCTGCAACTAAGCCAGGATCTACAGTAGATACAACCATGAGAACACCGGAACACTGAAGTCCAATGTCTCAGGGATACAGGGATCCGAGTAGCAAAAGACAGAGACACGTGGGAATGTTTAGAGGAGGCCTATGTCGAAAGACAGGCTGTTTTTGAACCGAACGCCAAACATTTGTAAAATATAGGTTGCACGTTAATTGATGTTATTGTTTGTAAGTTTAAACAGCAATAAAGGCTTGTATTATAACTTTCATGAGACATACTAAATCAATTATTATGTTTTCGGCTTATTCACGTAATTATTTGACGAGGAACTCGACTAGTTTCAAGCCATGCTAGAGGCTCATCAGCAGAAATCATTCATGAGCAGCAATTCGCGAGCCGCGACGCGGCGACTGTCGCGCTGCTACTGAATATGAGCCTCTAGCATTGCGTGAAACTAGTCGAGTTCCTCGTCAAATAATTACGTGAGTAAGTCGAAAACATAACAATTAATTTAGCAATAAAGGCTAAATTTATATATTTTAACAAACATAGCCAACTTCAAATAGAGTCCAGAATAATTCGCTCACCTCTTATGGTCAAAGACCTTGGTGCCGTCATTGAGCACGGCCATGATGTACGGGTTGTTGTGTTTGTTGTCATTGTCGAACGAGTCGAAGATGACGGCCAGACCGTTCCACCTGTCCGAGGAGCCGAACACCTCGCCCGTGTAGTCACCGCGCTGGGTGGTGTACCAGAACGCCTGAAACGAGAAATTAGGTTAGTTATCATTACATAGTATAAAACAAAGTCGCTATCCGCCGTCTGTCTGTCCTTATGTATGCTTAGATCTTTAAAACTACGCAACGGATTTTGATGCAATTTTTTAATAGATAGAGTGATTCTTAAGGAAGGTTTATATGTACAATACATGCATATTGCACCTGAGCGAAGCCAAGGCGGGTCGCTAGTACACAATAGAGAGACACAAAAATCGCGGTTACTCAGAGTTGGAAGCAAACGCGCGTGGTGTCCGGCAGAGGGCGCGGTGGGGCCGCAGCGTAAGTTACAACAGCGGTGCAAGTGTCAACGCTAGCCAGTAGGCTGCGCGACATCGCCGCGACCGCGCACGCTGCTCATGAGGAAGAACCCCTCTGTGGTTCGAAACTAATAGAGCTTTTCTCAGTATATTCACGTGGTTTTAGTTAATTAAAGATAGAAATGTTTTTGGGTGAAAAATCTCTGCATAGTATAAACCTCAAAGTCGGTTTCCGCGCTGACTCTATGTATGCTTCGACCTTTATGACTACGCAATAGATTTGATGCGATTTTAATAGAAAGTAATTCAAGATGGTGGTCTATTTTAGCATATGGTGGCGATATGCACATTAATCAACTTTTATAGCGCTGTAAATAAAGGCTATCAATCTGCCAGAAGCTTCCAAGTTAATGAAAGTTAATTCAGGAGTTACGCATTTGTGATGACTTATGGCCGAAACAAAGAACTGATTTTGCCATTAACTATATTAAATTTCTGATCTCCTTTTTTGAGTGGGAAAAATCATGTTTCGCTCCTCCATACACTCTTACTGACTAAAAACCACCCTGTTCCTACTCTCGCTTCGATCCCTATCTCTCGTGGTTGTCAGCAACCCTGATACCATAAAAGTCACTTACCAGCCCATCAGCTCCTATCCTGCCTCGTCCGGTGACCTTGAACATGATGTCGATCTCCCACCAGTCGAAGTTGAGTGGCTGCTTCGACCAGATCGCTCCCTTCTGGCTCCGGAGCGACGGCGCCAGTCTGACGCTCTCCCCTGATGCTATGGCGTCTGGAATAGGACACGATAAGAAATTAGAAGATCAATTTGTGATCACTTTGACGAGTTTTGCATATGTTTAGTACAGATGAATGCTTCATTTTTTTATAGGATAAGCTGGGAAACGAGGAAACGGATCACCTGATGGTAAGCAATCGGTGCCGCTCATGGACACCCGGAACAACAAAGGCATTTTTTTTAAAGAGGGGAAAATTATCGAGTGACGGCTCCCGCCCGGGTGAGGCGGGAGGGAGTGTCAGACTCTTACTGACTAAGAGCCACCACCCCGTTCCTTCTCCTGCGCTTCAAACTGGAGCCCCGGTTACCCGTTAGGTTCTCCGCGACTCCGAATCGGCATCAGTCCTATTGGGCCCCATCCGTGGTGGTCTGATGGCTCTTTGAGGCGCGTGCTGAACGCGACGCGCCGTATGGGCGTTACAAGTACATTATCGGCCTCTTGGGAATTAGGAATTTGAAGATTGTTGGGGATTCAGGGATTGGGGAGCTCCGGTAACCTCAATCACACAACAAAACCAACGCAAGTGTTGTTTCACGTCGCTTTTCTACTCGGCGGTGCCCGTGGTATCACTCCGGTCGAACCGACCCATTTGTGCCGAATCATGGCTCTCACACACATAAATAACCAGGTGAGGCAGAGGCAATCTACATTAATCAATCTCTTAATGTTGCTCGTCGATTGAGGGTGTTTTTGAGTACTATTTTGCGCCCATGGACACCTGCACTGCCAGAGGCGTCACAAGTATGTGACCGTTTGCCGGGTCAGAGATTCGAGGATATTAGGAAAGCGAAGAAATAGGCTATAGAGACCCTCTTTACTCGTTAGTCTTGCAATCTTTTGTAATCTTTAATCATGAACTTTTGAATCATTGACCCTTGATTATTATTAACGATTTTTTATTAAATTGTGCAACAGTACAGTCGGTACTACATGTATTTTATCAACAGTCAGCAGTCGCGCACGTAATGCTTCGCCACAGAATTCTGCAATTGCTACAAATGTCGGACACGCTCCATTTGCACTTTTACAATATTATTATTACTTTGATTTTATTGTTGTTTACTCAGAATATTGATTGTTATATAGTGGTTTTTAATTATGCATGTATGCCTCGTTGGCCGAGTGGTCGCAAGTGCGACTGTCGGGCAAGCGGTCTCGGGTTCGATTCCCGGCTCGGGCAAAGTATTACTCATGGGTTCTTTTAAAAAAACTTCTCAATAGAAGCACGGAGATTGGAATTGTGGCCGGTATAGGGCAATAGGCTCACCCCCTAATACATGGGCCTCATAACATAAAAAGTGACAAGTGGGTATTACATTGTACAGTGGCATAATGTGTACCTCTGCCTACCCCTTGGGGGATAAAAGGCGTCATCTTATGTTGCTTGCTTTGCTTTTAATTATTCTTTTTAACTCGCCTGAAGGCAAGACAATGGAGCATGCCGCTCATAAGTAACCTATTTACTACGGTCTTGAAGACACCCGGGTTGTCATTCAGGAAACACAAACTCAGGCAAAGAATCTAATTCAATCTTTAGTGGTTCTTATAACCAACTTTTTTTGAGGGGGAAAGTCATCATAAAGTCTAGGATACACCATATATTCCAAGACATGTATCGGTGGCATATCGAGTGAAGCCGGCCGATGTCGCCTGACATAAACGGCGACAACGCGCAACTTATGTCTACAGTAACGTTGATGTTGACAGACATGTCGACCAAAGACGGCAACGTCGCGCTACTTCACCCGACGCTGGCGACACATGTTGCAGGACATTTGTAGTGTATTAGCTTTACTCTTCCCGTCCTAGGTGAATCGTGAGGGAGTGTCAGACCCTTACTGAGTAAAAACCACCCTCTAGGCCCTCTGCTTGTCGCGGAGAACCTAACGGGTAACCGGGGCTCCGGCTCGACGTACAGGAGAAGGAACGGGGTGGTTTATAGTCAGTAAGAGTCTGACACTCCCTTCCGCCTCACCCAGGTGGGAGCAGTCATTCGATGATTTTACTCCCTTAAAAAAAAACAAAAAAAAAGCCCTCTACTTCTACCTCAAGCCGAAGCTACGGTACCTTTACGGTTATTCGTAGCCCCGGTCAGGCATCGGTCCTAGTGGTCTGATGGTATAAAGAACCCACATGCCGCTTTGCCGGTTGCCTAGTGATTTAACTTCGTTCTAATTTCATACTGAACATCGGAGACCACGGAACCAATAATTCTTAATGTAATCTATACATTTAAAACAGGTAATAATCTAGATATTTTTAATATACAACCTTGACCTAACGAGAAACAAGTTTCCCGGCGAGCATAACATATATTATCGTGCGTGCCATAAATACGGATTTAGATATTTTTTACACAATCAATATTTTATCTGTCTCACATATTGGAACTGGAATTGATGATAGACTGATCTTCATCAAACTCCATTCGAAATTACACTTTTTTTTTCTTTTTTGGCAACCGAGTCTCCAATACGATGTTGTCGACTATATATACTGCCAGTGTGGGGTGGTGACTGCAGATTAATGAACCGTCGAACTTAACTTTGCGGTAGAAACTACACTTTGGAACGCGCGCCTATCTTCACGGACAGACAGACGGACGGATAATTCAATTTTTGACGTTTGAAAGTTCCTAATAAAGGATTAATTGAATTAATGCTTTGACATTGACTTGTTATCCCAAGGGACAGGCTAAGTGCGCATCCTACGATTGGTATGTTTGTTTGATACTCAAACCCGTTAAAACCGCTAAAGGGACCGAGATAAAATTTGAAAGAGAAGTAGATTATGGTCTGGACTGGAACTCTGTAATAACACATAGGTCACTTTTAGTCCCACGGGAACGCGGCAGAAGCTACATAGTATTTTGCCCTTTTTTTTGTTGACGGGGGGAAACCTTCACAAGGCACTTAGCTTTTTGGGGAAAAAGAGCTTTTTGGGGAAAAAGACCAGGTAGTGTGGGATTTTTATCTCATTAAAACTGGTGTTTTAGTGATGGTGGCTACCATCCGCATCTGATGGAGGCACCGGGTACTCTTAGTAGACCAGCCCCGGAGCCCCCACGGTGCAACGCCTGTTACGGCACCGCTCTACGGAGAGTTATGTATCTATCTAGACTTCTAGAGCCTTTCTGTGCCGTGCACTTACGGCGGCACGTGACCACTGTGCCGCCGTCTTCCTTGACGTCATTTGGTGGGCGCCTAAATTCCCGGTTTTAGATAATATATAAACTTAATATCATTCTCGACCATAGACCAATGAACGCACGCGAACGCTTAAGAAGTTACGTAAAATATCCAGTACATAGAAAAATTGCTACCATAAATTATGTCATAGATTAGATTATAAACAAATAAACTTTAGTTGTATGTAATAAATATAAATGCCAGTCTGTTTGTTGTAACAATCATCATAAACGGCTACACCGATTTTGATAAAATTATCCACGGTTGATAGTTAGATTAAATATGCAGAAGTGGAGTAAATGATTTTACTTTGGGCGCATGTTTTGTTATGGTGGTATATCTACCAAAGTGGTTGCGCTTAACAGTTTGTAGACTTGAAAATAACATAACATAACATCACGCCTTTTTTATCCCCGAAGGGGTAGGCAGAGGTGCACATTATACCACTGTACAATGTAACACCCACTTTTCACTATTTATGTTATGAGTCCCATGTAATAGGGGGTGAGCCTATTGCCATATACCGGGCACAATTCCAGACTCCGTGCTACTACTGAGAATTTTTAAAAACCTAGTAATTCTTTGCCCGACCCGGGAATCGAACCCGAGACCCCTTGCCCGGCAGTCGCACTTGCGACCACTCGGCCAACGTAATTGAATGTAGTTATTGAACGTAATTAAAACGGACTTGAAACTGTATCTGAAAAATAATCGAAGGCTTATTAGACTAGGCCTTTATCCTCTTATGGGGGAAAATAAATCCTTTAATAGCTTCGCCTGCGGCTGCTGGTTGAAGCGAGGGGGAGAGTCAGACTCTTACTGATTAAACACTACGTTCCAATGAACTGTAGTTTCGACCCGGGCCGTTTTAATCCGTAACCTCGACGGTTCCCGAGCGTATGGCGCGTTTAATGACTATCAGACCAGTACGGGGGGCCCAATAGAGCTGATGCTAATACGGAGCCGCGGAGGACTTAACGGGTTCCCGGGGCTTTATGCATGATAAGCAGGTGTCTTAAACATCTAGGCGACCGCTACATAATCTAAGTATAGTAGGTACTATACTTAGGTATAGTTTAAGCAATATTTCTAATAGTACTTCGGTTTCAGAGGTATGTCCTCCCACGGACCCTCCGATTGTGGAATGAACTCCGTGCCAAGGTTTTCCCGGTGGGCTACAAAATGGGATTCTTCAAGAACGGAGTATATAGATTTATTAAGTGTCGGCAAGGCGCATGTAATGCTCCAAGTGTTGCAGGCGTACATAGGCCACGGTAACCGCTTACCATCAGGTGGGCCGTGCGCTTATTTAGCCACCATCGTGGTATAAAAAAAATAAGTGTAACAGTTTGCCCGACTTGGGAGGAGACAATTGTATATGTTGGGCAGTAGCAGTGGCGATCATCGAATAAGGTGTATGTACCTATCGGGTTTCCCCTGCTCAGAATACACTGGTAGCATACTGATAACGACTGATAACAAAACATATGTTTAGCTACCGCAAATGACATTCGATCTATATGAGTATTATAAAGCTAGTTTGTTTAAACGCGCTAATCTACAGAACTACTGGTTCGTATTGAATAATTCTTTTCTTATTGTAACTTTCGTGAGACATACTAAATAAATTATGATGTTTTCGGCTTACTCACGTAGTAATAGTCACGTAGTAGCAGCGCGACAGTCGCCACGTCGCGGGTCGCGAAATGCTGCTCATGAATATGAGCCTCCAGCATGGCTTGAAACTAGTCGAGTTCCTCGTCAAACAGTTACGTGAGTAAGCCGAAAACATAATAATTCTTTTCGTGTTGTTAGATAAGCCGTTAAACAAGCAGACAGATCACCTGATGGTAAGCGTCGCCCATGACACCCAGAACACTGTTGGCGTTACAAGTGCTTTACCGGCTTTTTGGAGATTAAGAATTTGAAGATTGTTGGGGATTCGGGGATTGGGGAGATTGGGGTGGGGTCCTCCGGAAATCTCACTAATACGACGAAACACTACGCAAGCGTTGTTTCACGTCGGTGTTCTGTGAGGCCGTGATATCACTCTGGAAGCATGGCTCTCTCACACTTAAAGTCCATCAGTTACATGGATATTCTACTTATCAAGGAAGGCTATAGGCTAAAAAACATCACACTACGACGAATTGGAGCCGAGCAGCGAGCAAAACTGTGAGAGAGTAACTAGTTAATAACAAAACTAAAATGTTGATCATATTCTTTTCTGTTACTGAAAAATGTATAAGGACGGAAAGTTAATCTTTATGACTATTTATCATTATTTATTGAGTACTGAATATTTATTTAGTACTTTGATAACTATGTAGATTATTAGTACTGACTGTATGGTTGAATGAATACAGGGCCCCTGAAGGCATAGATGGATAATAGGCAATTTGGGGCTTAGGGTAATAGGGCAATAGTCTTGTCAGTTCTCACATAAATTATAGAAGACTGTACTGATGCTAATATTTTTAAATTAATATGCGAAAATGTAAAACTATTTGGTGTTTTAAACTTTTGTGGTGGGTAAATAATGAAACAAAATAATTAATCAAACAACTATTGCATGTAAATAATACTGAGAGTTAAACCTACATAACATCACGGCTTTTATCCCCTAAGGGGTAGGCAGAGGGGCACATTAAGGCACTTAATGCTACTGTAAAATGTAAGACACACTTTTCACTATTTATGTTATAAGTCCCATGTAATAGGGGGTGAGTCTATTGCCATATACCGAGCACAATTCGACGCTCCATGCTACTACTGAGATATTTAAAAAAACGCAGTAGGTAATACTTTGCAAAATTCTATCAAAATTTGTTCAGCTGTTCTAATATAACATACTGACAAACATACAAACACATACAGTTTGCTAGGACTGCTACACAATAAGCGTACTTGTAACAGTCTGATTGTCATGTTAATGTTAACTCATTATGTCATTATTATTATTCCAAATATTCAAATACTTGTTGTTTCGCATGAAGATATCTGTGAGAGTGGTATGTACTGTCAGTAAATATCTTATGTCTGTGAGAGTGGTACTGTCAGTTAATATCTTATACTTTTTTATTCTATAAATCTAAAGAGTTTGTATCTTTGAATTCGCTTATCTCCAGAACTACTTAACCAAATTGGATCATTCTTTTTTTGTTGGAGAGTACATTTATCGAGATTATAGGCTACAAAACATCATTCTTTGATCAATAGGCACTGAGCAGAGCGGGTGCACAGAAGTACCTAGATTATACTGTCAATGTTTCATTACGGTATACTTTTTAATAATTCTTATTAGAATGTAAACCTCAATACTCAATTCTATATTACTTGTTCTATCTAATATCAATGAAAAGGAAGGAAAACTCATTTATTAATTATAAACACAACATTGCAATAGGATTTTAATAAATATTAATTACTAAGAAATATCTATGAGGGCTTATCAAGGCTGAAATTAAATGAAATCAATATAATTTTATGGTAAACTGTTAGCCATATGTAAACATTGTTTTTTTTTAAGAATACTGAGTTGAGATATTGTCCTTTGGCACCTCTGATTTTAAAGTTGTGTGAATAAAGTGAAGATAGTTTAGTTACAAATATATAACTTAAGTTATGCAAATTAAAATATTACCTATTAAATATACATAACTAACATGTTTTTAAAAGAAGACAGTGTTGTTGCATTTATCTTGACGAGTCATTGATGCCTTTACTTGCGAATATGGCATTAAAGATAATAATAGCCTACAGCACGATACTGACACGTTTTTATAGAAAGTTCGCAAAAATAATAAGTGAAAGAAAGAAATTATCAGCATTTGCTAAAACAATGTTAGCAGTGTGTCATACACAGTATGCGTATTAAATAATAATTTACAACCATTATCGAACAAGTTATGAAAACAATAACTATTTGATTTTAATGTTATGATAAATTATTTCAGCTTTTTTAACCGTGTCGACTGCTTTCGTGGAACCAAAAAACATGATCGCGACAACTATTTCATCTCTCTTTCTAACTATAGTAAAAACGTATAGCACTGTCCCTTTCACCCTTGACAGATTTCACTGACGTGTCGCTGTCAAATCGTATGGACCGAAACAACAAATGATTTTATATTTTTTACTCAATATTTATAACTTAACTTAGATATGCATAAGCGTAGATATGTAGTTAAGAAGTTCCTTTACAAGTTTATAAGAAATAAAAACCATTTATCATTGATGGAATAAGAGAAATTAGGTTATACTTACTGCCTCCGTACTCCCAGAAAGGAACGGATCCATCTTTTTGCGCTAAATACGGCGGCTTGAACGAATATTTGTATTCAAAGCGTCTGTGCACGGACTGTGTGTTGACGCACACCAAAATGCAAAATAATACACTGCACAATACTAAATTTAATTTAATCGACGACATATCGACGGCTTATAACAACCGTACTCGCTCACGTCAAGAGTCAAAAAAATTGTTGATCGCTATTCGTTCGTGATTTGTCAGCTGCGAAACATTCGGATACATTACAACAAAAATTATTGAATTCAAAGTTATTAATATTTTTTCTAATAAGAAATCGTAATTTATTTACTAATTGAATTATTTATGTACACATATACAGTACACAGGACAAACAATAAATAAAATTGACGTACATATGTTATTTATTGTCTTGTCTAAGTTGTCCATAAACTATGAAAATTAGCTAATGACTTGAGTTTCAGAGAAGTGGTATTTATTTTAAAATTGAAAATGTTGTTTATCTCAATGAAAATTAAAGTGGTTCAACATTTTGATGAAAGTATAATTTTGTGTTCGGATATCAGTGTGGTTTTGACAGTACGGTACGGCAAAAATACTACGTTTCAAAACAGATAAAAAAAAGGCCAAATCAATCCACGTAACGTCAAATCAAATGTCAAAGTTGGTTGATATATAATTACATGCTCTGTGTCTTCGGTTGGTTGGAGTTTGGTGCGAAAAATGGGAATTTCGCTAAACTTAAACACTAAACAGAATAAAATTTGAAATTAATGAAACGCTACTGCTTATAATTAAGAGTATATAATAAATGTAGGTATATTAAATGTCTCTGATTCATGCGTATGCCCTAGATTCTGTAGAAAACAAGTAGTTTTCAATTAGAACATATACAATAGCTTTTAATAGTTTGTTTTGATTTTTTACGCGTTAGATTCTATCAATATTCTGATAAGAATCCAGTAGTTTTCATTTTCTTTGTTTCAAATGTTTGATATAATTACGATTATTTGCCTGTTACGTACCAGGATCTTGTAAAACTGAAATAAAGTTATATGAGACTCAATCACCCAGTAATTTTGGCAAGAACCACCTTGAAATCCCATCTCAGGAATATCGGGGTCTCAGACCTTTAATCGTATTTATGGTCACTGAAGCAGTTCATTCAATGTATAGTTACTTGCAGTGGCGTAGCGTGCCTTGGCGGATCCTGTATAAAAAATTGTTTAAGGGCCCCAAACAACTTTTTAATTTTTATAGTAAACTATTTTCTCCTAAAATGTAGATGGAAAGACAAACTGTTACTTGCCGCCTTTTTTGACATCTGAAAGCTCACATTAAAATCTACAAAATTACTAATTTTCAGCTGTCCCAGAAAACTTTCTAGGCAACCCACAATCCCTAATATTTAATTGTCTGCTCAGATTATCGGACCTTAATTTCTCTTGTTTCTGTCATTGTAAAGTTTTTATTAATTTTTTCCTATGCACTTTGGGACCCGTATGACCTGGTACCCCATATAATTGATACGGCAGATACGGCACTAGCTACGCCCCTTGTTATATGGTTTTTCTTTGTATTATAAATATAAGTTCCAGAACTGCTTACAACTCTCTATAACCAATAGTTTCAACTCTTCATTACCTCTACCTGTCGCCAGTAAAAGAAGTACTTTATCTGTACTGTTTCTTTACAAATAACTTTGATAATATGTCTAGATAGACTAAAAAAAATTATTACATTTCTTATAAACTTTCTCCAGCTTACCAGTCATGACAGAGGAAATGTTCTACCGTCGCCAAGTATCGCGGCAACACCTGGAAGTGCTGGCTCAATACATGGAGCGCTACCCTCCTCTGGCACTGGCCAGCGCACGCTCCAGGGAGGGACACATACAGTCTAAAAGGATGTGGGAAAAGATTGCTCGGACGCTGAACAGGATTGATGAGAATGTTACGAAGAGTGGCAAGTGTTGGGCAAGAGTAAGTTTCTAATATGTTTTATTTTATTTATTAGATACTACTGAATTACTATTAGACCTCTCCTAATGGTTGAAAGTGTAGCGACCAAATTGCATATGTAAAAGCTAAATCATCGTTTACCCCATTCCGAGAAGCAACTGTGAAGATACACACAACTAGACTATGAGTACGTGCATCAAGTGCGTTACACCCATGGCATGTGTATGCAGGCCCCACCTCCAGGACAACAAGGAAATTCTTCTATACCACAAACTGGGGATAATGATTGCATTATTGAATCAATACCTAAAGAGGCGACCTGCATTACTTAGTTGCAACCATCAGCACCGCTCTTCATACCATAATATAAGTGGGGATAATCAACATCAACAGCCTGTAAGTGACCACCGCTGACCAAAGGCCGCTCGGAGAACGTTTGGGCATTAACCCGTTGTGTGTCTAAATGTGGATCCACGCGAGACAATGTATTTTTTATTGTGTCTCATATCGGCATATTCAAGCAGTTAATCGCTCTGCCCCAACCACTTGCTCAATGTGGGTTGGTCAAAGTACTAAGTAATGTGTCTTATATTTTTCCTAACTGACAGACTAATTAGAATTTTCGTAACCCTGTCATCATCCCTATTGCAAGCCTACCATAAAATAACAAAAGTTATTATATTTACATTACAACTTTCGTGAGGCGTACTACATTAATTATTATGTTTTTCGGCTTACTAATGTAACTGTTTGACGAGGAACTCGACAAGCGTCAAGCAATGAGGCTTAACGCGCGCCGCTGTCGCCGATAACACAAATAGAGAAAAGTGCGCGTCAATCACGGCAGAGGGCGCAATATAGTCAGCAACAGCGCGACAGTCGCCGCGTCGCGGATCGCGGAATGCCGCTCATAAAGATGAGCCTCTACCATGGCTTGAAACTAGTCGAGTTCCTCGTCAAATATTTACGTGAATAAGCCGAAAAACATTCATCATTTCAGTACTGGATAGACTTAAAATTCAAGATCAGGAGGAAGTATGCAGTGATACAGAAGTGTCTGTCCGAGGGCACACACTGCGCGGTCCACCTCAACCCTCTGGAGGAGAGGATCATCAAGATCCTGACTGATGAGGAGGGGAACCTGTTGCCCACTGCTTCCGTCTACCATCAGATGAAGAGCTACCATCCTCTGCACTATCCGTTAAAAGGAGCCGTGGTGAGTCAATGAGTTGTTGCAAATAAGAAATAATTATTGTGATTGTCATTTGGCATTGGCATTTAATGCTTTGAAAAAATATAGTACAACCTATCCTATAATGCTCTTCTCTAAACGGAAATGTTTGTACAAATATGAGTTGTGACTCATCATCAACAGCCTATAAATGCCCACTGCTCAGCAAAGCCTCTTCTCACACGGAGAAGGTTTGAGCATTAATCACCACACTTGCTCAATACGGGTTGGCAATTACAAACTTATAATTAGAAATTATAAGTCCAGGTTTCCTCACGATGTTTTCCTTCACCGTTTGTCGGTGTCTAGATAATCTTAGAAAATACATATAACTCTGAAAAAGTCACATTGGCACTTGCAGTTGGTAGGTTTCGAACCTGCACCCTCATGCATGAGAAGCGGGCGTCTTAAACCTCCGGGCCACCACGACCGGGTTGTGAATAAGTCCAGAGTATATTTTCTCACCGGCATTTAACGATCGAACCTCCGATAGCGGGTGTAGCCACTACGCCAACATTACTATCAACAAAATTAGTGCCGAAATTATACCTGTGTTGGACACACAGTGGCTTTTATAGACAACTAAATAATGTTTTTTTTTATGCTCGACTGCCTCGTTGGCCGAGTGGTCGCAAGTGCGATTGCCGGGCCCCTTGTCTCGGGTTCGATTCCCGGGTCGGGCAAAGTACCACTGGGTTTTAAAAAAAATTCTCAGTAGTACACGGAGTCTGGAATTGTGCCCGGTATATGGCAATAGGCTCATCCCCTATTACATGGGACTCGTAACATAAACAGTGAAAAGTGGGTGTTACATTGTACAGTGGCATAATATGCACCTCTGCCTACCCCTTCGGGGTTAAAGGGCGTGATGTTATGGTTTTTTTATTTTAGTGACAAATCGTCTACATATCTACAATGCAAAAACTTTAATAGCATCTCTCTCATTTACAGAAAACCAACGGTCTAGATGTAAAAGAGAAAAACACAAAAATAGACGACAGCGGAGGCCTGGACACTCTCGACGACCGATCACAGGACGACTACCTTGTGACGTCATCCCCTGTTACCGAACACATAGACTTACCTCCCTCGGACATCAAACCCAACATAAGCATAATGAAACAGGACACAGATCCCATTCTAATCACAGAAGAGAAGAAGTCAGTAGAAGAATTAAAAAGAGAGTTAGTAGAGTTTGAGTTAAAGAAGCAGAAAGAGTTTTTTGAGATGGAGAAGAAGTTTAGAAGGGAGAAGCATGAGATGGAGATGTCTATTTTGAGGTTGAAGAAGCAGTTGATGGTTAAAGAGTTGAAGAAGTTATAGTAGTGAATATGTTTAATTTGGATCAAGTTTTGTGCGCGATGTAAAGGCTTAGTTTGCGCAACAGAGTGGTTTGCGCAACAAGGAGCAGTTTGCGCAACGGAGAGTGGTTTGCGCAACAGCGGGTAGATTGCGCAACAGAGAGTAGTTTGCGCAACAGGGAGCAGTTTGCGCAACAAGGAGCAGTTTGCGCAACGGAGATTGATTTGCGCAACAGGGAGCAGTTTGCGCAACAGGCAGCAGTTTGCGCAACGGAGAGTGGTTTGCGCAACAGGCAGCAGTTTGCGCAACGGAGAGTGGTTTGCGCAACAGGCAGCAGTTTGCGCAACGGAGAGTGGTTTGCGCAACGGAGAGTGGTTTGCGCAACAGAGAGTAGTTTGCGCAACAAGGAGCAGTTTGCGCAACGGAGAGTGATTTGCGCAACAAGGAGCAGTTTGCGCAACGGAGAGTGGTTTGCGCAACAAGGAGCAGTTTGCGCAACGGAGAGTGGTTTGCGCAACGGAGAGTGATTTGCGCAACAAGGAGCAGTTTGCGCAACGGAGAGTGATTTGCGCAACAAGGAGCAGTTTGCGCAACGGAGAGTGGTTTGCGCAACAGAGAGTAGTTTGCGCAACAAGGAGCAGTTTGCGCAACGGAGAGTGATTTGCGCAACAAGGAGCAGTTTGCGCAACGGAGAGTGGTTTGCGCAACAAGCAGCAGTTTGCGCAACGGAGAGTGGTTTGCGCAACAGGCAGCAGTTTGCGCAACGGAGAGTGGTTTGCGCAACAGGCAGTGGTTTGCGCAACGGAGAGTGGTTTGCGCAACAGGCAGCAGTTTGCGCAACGGAGAGTGGTTTGCGCAACAGGCAGCAGTTTGCGCAACGGAGAGTGGTTTGCGCAACAGCGAGAAGATTGTGCAACGGAGAGCAGTTTGCGCAACGGAGAGTGGTTTGCGCAACAGAGACTAGTGAAGACACTGCGTTTCTTGGTTTGCGCATAAAAAAATTATAGGGAATGATCTTTGCACGTCAAAAGAATGGAAGAGGAAGTTTGCGCAACAAAAATAGAGTGAACAAGAAAAGGAATGGTGAATTGCGTAACAAAATAGATAGAGGGTTGTTTGTGTAAGAAGTAAAAATTATTTATAGAAGAAAATTACAAAAAGATAGATTGTTTTAAATAAAAATCTAGTCAAGACATGGGCGCATTCTTTGTTTTCTTTGTAATATTATTGTTTTAATTTAGACATGCCCTTTTTGTCTTAAAAACCTACATACATTTATCCTTACTATTATAAATGAGAAAGTGAGTTTGTTTGTTTGTTCCGCTTTCACGCCGTAACTTCTAAACCGATTGCTTTGAATTTTGGCAGACATTAAGTTAGAAGTCCGGATTAAATAATAGGGTACTTTTTAACCCGGAAAAATTGATATTCCTGAGGAAAAACAAAAGAATTGGTATAGATGGCGCTGTGTGTATGTGCATATGCCACATAGGATAAAAAGGCTACTTTTATCCTTTTGTGACGCGAGCGAAGCCGCGGGTAAAAGCTAGTAATTCTATAAATGCCATAATTTCCATCCCCACATTTGGTTTAGAGGTCGCAAATATCACCAACGTTTTGTTAGAGTATACTACTGCTCGTCCGCCGGCGGCTGGTTGCAGTTTTAGGAAATATTCCTTCTATCCTAATGTCGCAATCTCGAATAGTTTATTGACCCAGCTGTCAAAACTGGCCATAGTACTGAGTACTAGTAAAGTGATATAATAAATAGTCATAGTTATTAAGATAATAAAGAATTTTATTTTATTGGAAGCTTTGTTTATTTTATTACAATTTTCGTCTTTCATAACTACGTACCAAATTAATTATTATGTTTTCGGCTTACTCACGTAATTAATTGACGAAGAACTCGACTAGTTTCAAGCCATGCTGGAGGCATGACTAGCTCATATTCATGGCGAGCAATCCAAAAACATAATAATTGATTGTAAGCTTACTTTATTTTGACAATATTTTATTGAGGAATTGGGTACTTTTCTTCATATAGACAATCTAGTTTCCTTATGGCATCGAGCATTTCTTTCTTTATTCATTAAAACAAAGAGTTTCATTTTCTTGTATAGAAGCACTATTTTTTGGATTCTCAGTATGCATATGTGAGCACCATGTGAGACTAGTAAGTTTTTTTTTATTTTAGTAAGGTTTGTAATTAGTACCTATAATACGTCAAGCGTGTCTTTGCATTGTTCTCACATATACGTACGGTGTTGGAATATGTATCAGAGACATTGTAGAACATACTTTTTTAAAAAGAGTAACGAATGGAGTTTCTTGCTCGTTCTTCTCCAGTCGAATGTACATTTTGGAATGAGCACCTAGCTTCACCTAGTTTCACTGACGGACTGACTGACTGACAGACACGAAAAAAGTGACGTCACAATACACAATCTAATACAAAATTCATAGAAAACTTTCGTTTTTGACAGTTCGAAAAAAGTATTGAATTTGACTAATTGGCAAGTACCCGATTCTACAATAAGAATTTTGTTTTAACACCGAAATCAAACAAACTATTGAAGATATTTAGATAAAATTTGGTTTAGAGATAGATTATACAGTCTGGTATAACACATTGTCATGGGGTTTCAACACATTTTTAAACACGAACGCAGGCAAAGACGCTTGCATAAGCTAGTTATAAATAAACAAATAGCAGTGAGTATTGACTGTTGAGACATCTTTAATAAAAAGAAAACACAGCCTATAATTAATTCTTAGTTCTTCTTCTCAAAGGGGTAGTAAGGATGGTCAAGCCATTTGTACTGCGGGATAGTCCTGTAGTTTCTGTCGAAGCTCTTCAGCACGTCCCGCTCCGCCTGCGTCAGGGAAAAGTCGAAGACCTGCACGTTTTGCTCAATGCGGGATTTTGTTAACGACTTCGGGAGCGGGATCACGCCTAATTCCACCTGCGAAAGAGTATTTTGTTATTGTGGGTGATCTAGAGACCCCCTATTACATGGGGATTGCCAGGCAAGTTGTAAATAAATGACTAATTTTTACTTTAATATCCTTTTTAAAACTTTCGACACGTATTTTTTATTTCTTTACGCAAGCAAATACTTTCGAAGATTAATATAGATTTGAAATATCGCGTGACGTCACTTCTATGTGTGATTTATAGGTATTTAGAAATGACGTTGCTAACTCCCACTAACCTAACCTTTGATTCGTTTTATCTAAATATTGTTTTATTATATGACAAAATAAGAAATACGTGTCTAGTATTTTTTCATTACCTAACTGTCGGACTAGATACATTTTAAGTTTCAAACCATCATCATCAATCATCAATCATCTCAATTATGTAGTTAAATTCGACTTACGAGATATCGAAGTGCGACTTGTGGGACAGTCTTGTGGTACTTGTTGGCGATCTCCACTAGCGCTGGGTCGTCAATTCTATAATAATAATTAAACAATTAATATGTCGTATTATTTATAAAATAAAGAGTGGGGGACCGGGGAGCCATCCTTCAATACGAATGGGCCGTCTCGACTGTCGAGCGGAGTGATACCACGGCCTCACAAAAAACCGGGATGCCACAATGTTTATATTGTGTTTTCTGGATGAGTTTATTGAAGACCAAACCCCCTCTTTTCAATCTACCCCACCCCCAATCCCCAAATACCCAATTCAAGTCCATGGACAGCGCATTACTTGCCACTAGGTAAAACTTTTCTAAATAAGCATTTCTTATCTGATTACTCCAGGAAGTATATAAGAACCTGGGTGGCGGTGCGGTCTTCAGCGCCTTGTTGTAGAACAGGGACCCGAAGGGCGTGTACCCCATCACGCGGATGTCCTGGCGCGCGCAGTACGCCAGCAGCTCGGGTTGTTGCAGGTTCAAGTTGATCTGTGACAGTGGGATGGAGGGCTTAGGTAAGGTAGTAGTTTTTTTTAAGGTAGTGTAACGTTGGACTTTTTATAGCGGTCTATACGTCAGAGTGTGGGATGGAAATGAGGTGTGAATGCGCGAAAACTACAGTGAAAAGCGTTTATTAACTGAACAAGCGTTCTTAAAACTACACAAATAGGGGTTAACTAAAATTAGTTAATATGTAACCGGGTGCCTCGCGGCTAGTTGTCCATTGTCGTTGGCGGCGTTCGCGTTCACTCCATTAAGGGTGCGTCCGAGCAAAAGACAAAGGACCTTTGCTCAACATCTGTAGTGTCTCTCGCCGCCACCAGGTATGCACCCGAACCTAACTATCAACCCTCGTGTTACAGTAGTTTTTTTTTGTTAGTTGGTAATGTCATAGTGGCCTCAAATTTAAAGCGCGCAAAACCTACCAAGTACATATTTGAACTTTCCGAGTTACACGTACCAGAGCCGGATTAAAACTAGAGAGCGCCCTAGGTAACTCATTCTATGGGCGCCCCTCTGTAACCTGGCGCCCTAGTCATTTGCCTAGTTTGCTTTAGGAATAATACGACTCTAACATGTACTTTTTACTTATTACAGTGAAGGGAAACATCGTGAAGAAGGAGTAGGCTGCGCGACATCCCTGTGACTGCGCATGCTGCTCATGACGAAGAACCTCCCTGTGGTTCGAAACTAGGAGAGCTTTTCTCAGTATATTCACGTGAGTAACCCGTGATTTTTAGTTAATCGTGAGGAAACCTGGACTTTTATAAGATTGAAATCGCTAACCTGCATTGAGCAAGCGTGTTGATTAATGCTCAAACCTTCTCCGTTTGAGAAGAGGCTTTTGCTCAGCAGTGGGCACTTATAGGCTGTTGATAACTGATGATGTATGATGTGACAGTTCTACTACTTACTTCAACTTGCAGCACAGCGGGTTTCTCCAAGCCCAGCTCGAGGAGCCGGTCAATCTGTTGTTGGTTAAAGTTGGAGACTCCGATGGACCTGGTGAGGCCTAGGTTCTTGGCTTCTATCATGCCACGCCAGGTCTCCACGTAGTCCGTGTAGTCATAGGTACCGTTCAACTGGAAATATAAACACTTGTTAAAGGAATAATTGAATTTATTGGCTGAAATAATCTGATTGTTATGTTCTTTTAGAACATGGGACAGCCATGATGTGGCACGAGTGGTCGGTGCGATCCGGAAACTGTTTAAGAAGTGCAATGCAGAGTCATACCATAGTTTTACAGAAAATCGGTGTGAATGCATGCGTTGTGTTTTGCCATCTGTTTGAGGTTACCACAGACCCAGCTCCATATCCTCAAATCTCCAATCCCTAAAAGGCAATACTCCAGTGTTGCGGGTACCCATGGGCGACGCCGATTGCTTACCATCAGATGATCCATCTACTCGTTTATTCGAGCTATTCTATAAATAACCATGGTATACTTACAAACTGTCCCACAGGCCAGTGTATAAGGTACAGGTCCACGTACTGCAGCCCGAGGTTGGCCAGCGACTGCCGTAACGCTGGCACCACCGCACTCTGCGCGTGCGCATCGTTCCATAGCTGTAGATAAAGAGAATAAATGGAGGGATTACCTAATTATTCTTATACCTATTGGTCTTATGGCTAAAGAAACGACATAGTTGCTGGCTCTATTCGTAAGGAATTTGACCATTGAAAATATTTTCTTTGGTCCAAAGACAGAACTCCCTAGGAATCAAGTAGTAGTCTAATTTCTGTATCTGACGTACCAATCAGAGAGCCTAGAGTAAGTTTGCAACGTTACCGCAATCAAAACGTTTCTATATAACGTTCGCCGCTTTGATTGGCTGTTCAAAGTTAACCAATAAACCAGAGGGCTACACGCAGTACATTTCAGCACTCTCGTATTACTTCATAGTTAAAAAATAACATACCTTGGTAGTTATGAACAGGTCTTCTCTCTTGACTCCCTTTGCGATCTTGGCAGCTATTGCCCTGCCGACCTGGTCTTCTACCTTGTACACGAGGGCAGTGTCGATGTGTGTGTACCCGGCGTCTATCGCCCAGGACACTGCTTGCTCCACCTCGTTCGCTGCGGGCTCAATACGGCCATGTTGGGAGAAAACGTCAGATTATTATAAAGAAATAGAAAGACAGAAGGAAAAAAGATAGAAGAACGTAATAAAGCAAGTTCGCGCACCTGACTAGAACCTTAAAGAGCCGTCAGACCACCACAGATAGGGATGGGACCTAATAAAGCCGGAGCTGCGGACGATCTAGCGGGTTACAAAGGCTCCAGCTCTAAGCAGGAGTGGAACAGGGTAATGTTTACTCAGTAAGAGTCTGACACTCACTCTCGCCTCACTCAAGACGGGAGAACTAAGTCATTTAATGTATTTCTCCCTCAAAACTAAGGCTTCTATTTAGTTTTGATAGTCAAGAACCGTCTTTATTCATCGATGAATTCGCAAAGTTCTTATTACGACGGCAATTTTAATTAGAAAATTGCAGTATAGTACCAATAAAATTTTAAAATAGGTACCTTTGCGTTCATTCCCAGCCATGTTCCTAGAGCAAGTGCAGGTATGTCATGCCCATCGTGCAGTTTCAGGGTGGGCACATTCGCTCTTACCGCCTGAAACAAATTACCTGTGTAATGAGCAAGGAAGGTACTTAGCCAGAGGCGTATTAAACGGAAAGAGCGCCCTAGGTAAGCACTTCATAAGCGCCCCTAATTTTTTTGGCAACGTCACTATACTGGCACGTGTGTATCGCGCCCCTCTACAACGTCACTATACTGGCACGTGTGTATCGCGCCCCTCTACAACGTCACTATACTGGCACGTGTGTATCGCGCCCCTCTACAACGTACTTACCTAGCTTTAGGAATAATACGGCTCTGTACTTAGCAATGTCTTTTTATAATAACTATCGTGAGACATACTAAATTAACTAAAAATCGCGAGTTACTCACGTGAAAATACTGAGAAAATCTCTACTAGTTTCGAACCAGCACGCACGCTGCTCATAAGAACGAACCTCTATGTCGTTAGAAACTAGTAGAGCTTTGCTCTATATTTCCACGTGAGTAATCCGCGATTCAGTTATTTTAGCAATGTCTTGTTAAAAATGTTAAAATTTGAAATTTCAAAAATATGAAACTAACTACTTTTACTTGTGCTATAAAGTAGATGTTACTGCAGCATGCACTATGCACTATTTACTGCTTCGAAGATTACAAGGCGTAACATTTAGGGCATGTAAAACCGGTTTTCCGGTTTTGCGCAAAACCGGAAATCGGCCAAAATTTTACGATTATTGAAAACCGGTTTTGAGAGCCAAAACCGGAGCTCAGCTCCGGTTTTCCCATTATTAAGTAACAATTAACATTTTGTTTTAATCAAATTTTTTTCAAACACTCTTACAAAAATAATTAATATTGAGGCATTAAATGTATCCGAACCGAACACAGCCTGCATCCACCCACTTTCACGCCTCCCTCCACTACCCCCGCCTGATGCTTAACTAAATGAAGTGCATTTTCGTAGTCGATAAAACATATTATCAGCACGTCCGTTTGCATTTCTCTGCATTTTTGAAGATATGGAGATTCTGAGATCGTTGAGGGCGAATAAAGCTTCACGGGTGCCTACACCAGAATGAAATCCAAATTGGCTGTCTCCCAGTTGTTCGTCACACTTTACTCTTATTCTATTCTGTATGATGTTTAAGAACACTTTTAGGACATCTCTCATTAGACTCATCATCTGGTACTCTCCATATTTTGTTGCATTTTGTTTTTTGAGTATTGTAATGAACGTAGACTTTAGCCAGTCATGTGGAAGAATGCCAGTTTCGTAAATGTTGTTGAAGAATTGGTCAAGTACTTCCTCCAATAGCTTGAGAATCTCGATGGGTAATATGGGTATGTTATCTGGTCACGTAATATCTCCGATTTTAAAATAGTTGGACCCGTGTCATCAGTAATTATTTGGATATTTCTTGATGGGTCTGCGAACATCTCCGAGCCTGCACCCCGCAGTTGATTATTGATCTCTTTTTTAGTGCAATATGAATCATATTATAATAATATTATTTTGTAGTTCGTCTTCAAAGTTACAAAAATAATGTTTTTTTTGGTAATTGTGGCTGGCTGTATTTAATATTTAAAGATGCTACTTGTGTTTTCTATGTTTAAAATATATTATTTTTGATAGCAGACTTAATAGGTTCCAAAGATACCAAAAACTTACTTGTTGTTGATTTGATCTCAGTTAAATAATTTTTATACTATTATAAGTTCATTGTTATCTGTACAATTATTATGTTTTGGATGAAAAAGAAGTGAATCACACAATTTGTTTTATTTGTAGACTCAGTGGGTATTTAAAAAAAACGGTTTTCTTTTTTAAATTAACTACATTGGATTTTTTTGATAAAACCGGACCTAGCTCCGGTTTTCGGTTTTGGTACCAAAAAAACGATGTTCAAAACCGGTTTTGATGACTTTCCGGTTTTGCATGCCCTAGTAACATTTCATTTAACACAAATCTACTTTTATCACTAAAGTTACCTATATAGATGCTCATATTTTATTTGGTGCTAATTTTATATCATGCAAGTCATCGTGCAATTTAATATTTTTTATCAATCACGTTTATTACATTACCACAATTACCAGTAACAACAAGTAAACATCCGACATGTTTAAGTTATATATACCTATCAAAATATTTGCTTGTTTTTATCTGGTTTAATAACTACTTGATTCTAGATTTATTTACACTTCAAGCTATGAAAAACCGGTATAAACTGACCTTCGAATGTGCGGAAACATCATACAAAGCGAGATCAAGATATACTGGTTTCGTATAGCTTAATGTGTACGTGTAGACGATAAGTAAGACTCGCTTATAAGCATGATGTAAAGTACATAGTAGGGGGTTATCCCTAATTTGTGAGTTGTGTTAATATCTAAATTTGGAATACGCATCTGGAGGTTAAATCACATGCCCATGCTGTAAAAACTTATTTATTTATTTATATCATGTATCCTTATATCAGGATACATGATAAATTCCCAATTCTAAAATCTTTAACCCACAAAAGGCCCACACTTCTACGGCACTCTAGTGTTACGGGTGTTCTTGCGGCGTAGATTTTTTTTAGTGGGACAAGCCCGCCACATCGCCATGTAAATACCGGAACACTGAAGTCCGGTGCATCCCAGACATACGAATACCTGTATTGGTTCCCGCAACGAAGTGAATCAGAATACAATTGGGAGAAGCCCAGTCTCCAAGGCGTAATGGATAGCTTACTATCAGGTGATTCGTTTGCCACCCTATACCATAAAAAATATACTAGAATCACAGTACCCTATCCAAATGAAATATAACACCTGCCCTCCTGCCTACCTTCTATTAACATTTTCCTTTACCACCCATACACAACAATACAAGATCTTAAGTTATCAGTTATCACACCATTCTCATTGTATTTATAATCTTGTGTCGAGATGATGAGACGGATTAAACCTAGCGAGCGCCCTAGACAAGCAGCTTATTGGCGCCCCTAATTTATTCTGGCGCCGTCACTCTATGGGCAGTTGGGCCCGCGCCCTCTGTACCCTGGCGCCCGACTCTTGTCTAGTTTGCCTCAGGTATAATACGGCTCTGTATTATCATGCCTTACTGTACCTTAGGAATAATATATAAATCTTCCTTTCTGACTGATGGTTGAAACTGCCACGATAAGCGAATACCTTTCATTTTGTCTGTCACTGTTTTTAACTATATTAAAAATAATTAGTTAATATTAGTAACATAATATTTTTGATTTTGTTTCTGTAAATAGGCTACAATGTAACATTTTTAGTCGTCAAAATTTCATATATGTATGAATAAACGTTGTGAATTTTTCATAATGGGAGATTAAGAAGTTAAACTACATAGATGAGACTGTATTTCCTATTTGACTACACTGAGAAGAAACAAAGCCTCAAGACTAATCTATAGGTACTTAATTAGTTAACTAATTTATATAACATAACATAACATCACGCCTTTTATCCCCGAAGGGACAGGCTGAGGTGCACATTATGCCACTGTACAATGTACCACCAAAAATTTAACTATTTATGTTATGACCCCAATGTAATAGGGGGTGAGCCTATTGCCATATACCGGGCACAATTCCAGGCTCCGTGCTTACTAAGATTTTTTAAAACCCAGGAATACTTTTCCCGACCCGGGAATCGAACCCGAGACCGCTTGCCCGGCAGTCGCACTTGCGAACACTCGGCCAACGAGGCTAATTAACTCGTCGAGTACCGGTTTTATAGACACAATTAAAGAACAATAGGTCGCGGTCACCGGTGACCGCTTGGTGTTTGACAGTTTAATATACTGTTTATAAAATACTAATAAACATGGAACCTAAGAGAGGAAATCCCGAAATTCCTGAATGAAATGAGAAAGAAAGAAACCTTTATAAGATTATGAAAGAGTTCGTGTGTTTGTTTGTTAGAACGCGGTAATCTCTGAAACTACTGGTCCAAATTGCATAATTATTTTTGTGTTCGATAGTCAATTTATTAAGGGAAAGCTATAACATCAGGAGCCGTGTAGCTAGAACCGTGCAAGATCATCTTACATCCTATCCTATAAGCCGCGGAGAACCTAACGGGTTACCGGGGCTCCGGCTCGGAAGTGCAGAAGTAGGAACGGGGTGGTTTTTAGTCAGTAAGCCTAACACTCCCTCCCGCCTCACCCAGGCGGGAGAAGTAATTCGATGATTTTCCCCCCTTAAAAAAACCCTATCCTATAGAGTCTATCGAAGAAACACACAAGTTTTGAGTGGACCGGCTTAGACAGATTCGGTTTAAAATACGTGTTATGCATATAAAATTCTTCCTGGTGGAATAATTATCTATTCTAGTTTTATTTAATCTTTGTAGAAATCAATTCACGAAATCTGCACGATTAAAATGTTGAACTTAATATTGTAATGTGTAAGATGAAATACCTACCTATTGTTTTTATAATAGATATCTATGATGAAATCAAATGTAAGTTATTTGCCACCTACCAACCAACGTATTTATTATATTTATTACATTTACCCTAAAAACGACGTAAACATTTTAAATGACAATTCAAATCTAATATTTAAACAATAGATTCACGAATTTTATACACAATGTAGGTTAAATAAGTAATAAAACAAAGCCAGTGCTTTATTTAATAATGAAAAATATTTAAATTCGTTTTTTTGCGTATTCATATGAAAACGAAAAAAACTAATTTAAATATGTTTCGCTGTGGCAAAAAAAATGTTAAATAACTTGTAAATGGTACAAAAGCGTGACTTCCAGCACTGTTTAAATACATAAACAAACAAAATACGTCAAGAAATCTGTCTTATAAAGTTATAAGATTACAAAACATCTTAAAATCTAGTCGAACGAATAACCGGTATGTTACCTACATACTTGAACTTTAACGCGATGGCGGACACAATTACACGCTAGTTTACACAAAACAAGTAATCAAAATCAAACTCACCGATATTGCAATGAAAATAATTGCTAAAACACTAGTTAACATGCCCATGGTTGCTTTAGAAGTAATATATTAAAATTATTAACATTTAAACTGGAATTTTTTGATAAAATTTGACCAGTTGAGTGACCTATCGATATCTTGCGCCGATCGGCTTCGCTCTGTGACTGGTTGTTCGTGTCAGGAGAGGGGATACCTACAATCTATGCTAAAAGCACCAATAGACGATCGAACGGAACCATCACCGTGCCGTCAATAGGGTAGTTACCTAAATTTTATTTTAAAGTCCGTCTGGTACATTAATTTAAAACATTAGACACGTATTTTTTCTTTTCTCACAAAATTAAATACTTTTGACGATATATTAACTTGACATATCGTGTGACGTTACAGCGTGCCACATTTTGTCGCACGTTATGACGTAACGACCTCCCACTCCTAAACTTAGCGCCATTTTATCTAAGTATTGCAACGTCTTCGCTGCTATTTGGCCATGGAATGCAATGTCATAAATGTGGAACTTATTCTTATGTGAAGTTTGTGGTTTCTTTGTAATCTTTAGTAGTATACATACATCATGTATCAAATAAGGTCCACTATTAGCTCTTACGAACCCGTGGATATGAGAAAATAAAAAAATACGTGTCTAATATTTTTTTGTTATCTAAGTTACGGACTAATTAGATTTTTAATTTTGATTCCCTGGAAACTACGCAATTTGGTTCAGCGCCTGTACTTACACACTATCCAATATGGTGCGGAGCGGACAAAAGTGACGGTTCGGCTTGATCGTCTAGTTGTGGTTTTACTTTGCTACTAATATGTATGTATGTATGTATGCAGTGTTCTCATTGCGTTTACTTGAATGACAATTATGTCCTTTATTGCATATATTATAAGTGTGAAAGATCCATGCTTCGGCACGAATTGCCAGTTCGACCGGAGTGATACCACAGCCGAGCAGAAAAATGACGTGAAACAATAGGTACTTGCGTTGTGTTTCGTCGTGTGTTTAAGGTTACCAGATTTCCAAATACCCTCTTCCCCATCCCTAATTTCGCCAATCCCTGAATCCCCAACAATCCTCGAATTCCTAGTCCCCAACCTCAAGAGGCCGGTAATGCACTTATAATGCCTTTGGTGTTGCAGGTGTCCATAGGCCGCGCCGATTGCTTACCATCAGGTAATTAGTCAGCTCGTTTACCGCCTTATCCCATAAAAAAACAATTAATACATTTTGCTGTGTTTTCAAACGGTGTTTAGAATGCCCCGTATCTTGTATTTTTGTTGAGTTTAGCAATTGGAATTCCACCCCTTCTTGACGATAGATCGATCTGATATGTTTGATACACTATTTTAATCTTGATGGCCTCCAGATCGACTAATTTTGGAGACTCGGTTGCCACAAACATGTATTTTTTCTCTTGTGCCAGTATGAGCATGACCAACGTAAACTAGGTGGGAGTTATCATGTGATATTTTTGCTTCTCGAACTCACCTTAAAGGCATTTTAAAAAAATAACAACATCACGCTTTTTATCCCCGAAGGGGTAGGCAGAGATACATTACGGCACTTAAATACCACTGTACAATGTCAAACAATTGTTCCGCATGGCTACCGACAAGGAGAAATACAAGAAGCTGACGGCCGACCTTCAACATTGAAGAGGTACTATAAGAAGAAGAAGAAGTACAATGTAACACTTACTTTTTTAATGTTTGTTTTTAAGAGTAAAAGTGTCCTATATTGTGCTCTGAAAAGAATTCCAACGATGAAAAACTTACTCAAATTGGTCCAGTAGTTTCGGAGCCTGTTCCATACATACATACAAACATTGCCTACGTTATATATTCACGAAAATTGTTTCGATTAATCTCCATAATAAAAGTGATAAATGAATAATAATGTTCATTTGGTTGTAACGCTTTAACACTTAGAACCTTTAATACATAGACAAACATACATAACACTAGCAAATAACAATGAACTCAACTTTCAAACATTCCATTTAAAATTGACCCCTGACACCATATAAAACGCATACAATTGATAGGTCTTATGTATTAAGACGTATAGTCCAAATAAGTTAGACCCCTAATTCGATAAGATTAGTAAATACGAGCAGGTCAAATGTAACTGGTGTATATAGTTAGTTACTGCGATTTGCGATAGAACCAGTTTGCTGCTAATTGTTTTGTATTGCGAAAAATGATTGGTCAAAGATTATAAGCAGTGCAGAGCAGACGAGACTGTAAAGAAAGAAAGAAAATTATTTGCCATTTTTTTTTAAGGAGGGAAAATCATCGAATGACTGCTCCCGCCTGGGTGAGGCGGGAGGGAGTGTCAGACTCTTACTGACTAAAAACCACCCCGTTCTTTCTCCTGCACGTCGAGCCGGAGCCCCGGTTACCCGTTAGGTTCTCCGCGACTCAATTTATTTGCCATTGGGCTTGATGCACCAAATAGACAAATATAAAATAATAATAGAAAGAACAAAAAAAAAAAACAATATAAAAAAATAATAAAAAGAACAACGAGGTGGTAACATGCCCATGATAAAAGGGATTGCCAACTCAGTATGAACTGGGCACAGTAAGTACCCAACACTGGTTTTCAGTTGGCACCCTTGCAGTGACGAAAACGAAAAATATTTGAAAGGAAAATAGTACAGTTTGTCATTTCCTTTTCTGTATGTAGGTACTATATTATTAAACTGTCAAACACCAAGTGGTCACCGGTGACCGCGACCTATTGTTCTTTAATTGTGTCTATAAAACCGGTACTCGACGAGTTAATGGTGTACAATAAAGTTATATTCTATTCTATTCTACTATTATTTATACCGACATTCTATTAAAAAAGAAAGAAGAGGAAGAAAGATAAAAATAAATATACATACATAAACAAGTAAATCGTGTAGGTACCATCGCCAAAAGAAAAAATAAATTAAACGAACTATATTTCGATATAAACATAATGAGGGTAGGTGTGTAGTCGTGAACGTTACAACGTCGGGTGTCCGTTACAAGTGCGTTGCTGGATTTTGAGTGTAAGGTAATTTCGGATTTAATATTTTGGGAATGGTGATGATGAAAAGGACCTTCAGTAACGTCACTCACACGGCGAAACACAACGCTTTGGTTGTTTCACGCCGGTGTACTGTGCTGCAAGGCTGTGGTATCACTGCGGTCCGAGCCAGCCCACTCATGCCAAGGTATGGCTCTTCCCAGAGGCAGATTAATTAAACCTAAAGAGCGCCCTAGGTAAACATTCCCAAATATTTTTGGCGCCACTAGCACTATGGGCAGTTGGGCACGTGTCTCTCGCGGCGCCCTCTGGAACCTGGCGCCCGGCACTTGTCCAGTTTTCCTTAGGGATAATACGACCCTGTTCTCCTACATTAATGGTTATACGTTTCTGCCTATTGGTCTATCTGCACCAGTAAGCTGAGCTGTCCGTTACAATAACTGAGATATAGCCTAGCTGAGCTCAACGCGCCTCAGTGCCTGCTGAGCGGCTGAGACAACATGACCCTGACCAGACTCTCTGTTCTCGCATTCCTCGTGATTTGCACTGTAAGTAATTACATCTATATTATAATACATACAATGTTATACAATTGAAAAGTTTATATGTTTGTGTCAACGCGTCAATCTCCGGAACTACTGGTTCGAATTGAATAATCCTTTTTGAGTTGGATAGTCCATTTATCGAGAAAGCCAACAGGCTATAAAACATTGTACTACGATCAATAGTAGCCGAACAGCGGATGAACCTGTGCGGAAGTAGCTAGTTGTAATATAAATACAATTGCAAAATTGGCATAGTAAAGTTATAATATAATGAAATAATTTAAATTGCTAAGTTAGTCGGTATTTTTAAGGGGGAATATCATCGAATGACTGCTCCCGCCTGGGTGAGGCGGGAGGGAGTGTCAGACTCTTACTGACTAAAAACCACCCCGTTCCTACTCCTGACCTTTGAGCCAGAGCGCCGGTAACCTTTTACGTTCTCCGCGGCTTCGTATCGGCATCAACCCTATTGGGCCCCATCCGTGGTGGTCTGATGGCTCTTTGAAGCGTGCGCGGAACGCGACGCGTCGTAAGCTCGGGTCTGGTTGTGGGTGGCCGGAGATTCACCAATGTACCTCGCGACGGCTGTGAGGATGCAGCGGCCGGCGCTGCCTCGCGCGCGCTGCCTGCTCTTTAACTCGTCGAGTACCGGTTTTATAGACACAATTAAAGAACAATAGGTCGCGGTCACCGGTGACCGCTTGGTGTTTGACAGTTTAAATAGCACTTTAAATAGACTGCTTCGCAAAAGGAGGAGACGGCATCCCAGTTCATTGTTCGTAGGTATAGGTCTAAACCTATTTAGGCTTTTCCTAAGTTGTTTTGGAGAACTTGTTAGAGATTTGGAGACTAATAAACAGTCCCATAATGTTTTAAAGGATCATGGAAGTTGTATAGTATTTTAATATTAACCTCTATGCTCTCTTTATGGTTTTTATATCCTGTTGCCAAGAAACAATGTCAAACTTGGCATTTGGTCATGTAGGTAAACAAAATTTCAACAAGAACTAGTTACACACATTTTACAAAATAATATGCAAAACATTTAATAAATAAAAACTAACAATGAGTGTGAACAATAGAATTGAAAACGTTCAAGACTTCACGGAACAAAACTATTAATTAATAGAAATGTGCAAATAAACACACAACAAAATGATTATAAAAATAACAAACGGGTAATGGACGATACCATTAACATCAGACCCCAACTGTAACTATACAATTTACATCATCCCAAATGGATAGTAACAAACGGTAGATACAAAAGCTTAGAACTTCAATTAAACAAAGACTCTTTCTTTCAAACGTCGTCGTCCACCAAATATAAAGAAAACTTCGTCACTCACACAATCACACAGTCTTAAATTAATCTCCTCATTTATTCTAATACTAGCTTCTGCGAGAGCTTCGCTCGGGTTCCTGCGAGATACAAACAACTCGATGTTATTATTTCAGACCATATCTACTCTTGTTCCAAATTTCATCCCGATCCTTTCAGCCGCTTTGACCTAATTGAGTGACAAACACACACACAAACTCACAAACTTCCGCATTTATAATTAATCATGCCAAAACGGACTCTTGAAGAATTTCGAAAGGATTATAATCTTAGCAACCGAATACTACGACCCGACCCGGATTGGGAAGCTGAACTAGACCGGGCGACGGAGGTAACCGAAGAAATAGCGGCGAGGGTCAAAACATACACCCAGGGGTTTAGGAAGAGAAAGAAATTCAAACCGGACTGTTGTTGTCAGGTAGTTACACTGATATTAAATATCACCACATCAGCTTGGAAGACGCCCACTACTGAACAACTGCATCCCCCTAAGTCCATGTTGAAAGATGCCGAACTTGGCACTTCAGAGCCGTATTATTCCTAAGACCATCTGGGGCGCCAGTTTATACAGAGGCGCTAGACGTGCGTGCCCAAAGAGTTACGGTGATGCCAAAAAAAAAAATAGGGGCACCTATGTGCTTGTCTAGACCGCTCTCAAGGTTTAATCTGCTTCTGAGCCACTTGGGCCCATTAACTCCTTGCGATTCTGATGACATTGACGGTCCACCTAGCGTGAAGTCTGCCCACGCTACGTCATCCAGTCCGCGGCTGCTACTCGTCAACTTTTCTAACCTATCTGCTGTCAGATTTTCAAGTGATGTGGCCATGTGGCCTGCCCGCATTTCCACTTCAGCTTGCATATTTTAAGAGTCTTTTAAGAGTATTTTAAACTGTCAAACACCAAGCGGTCACCGGTGACCGCGACCTATTGTTCTTTAATTGTGTCTATAAAACCGGTACTCGACGAGTTAAGAGTCTGTCTTTAACTTTGGTTTTTTGGTAAACTACATTTTTGTCACGTAAAAAAACTCCGTGCATAGGTCTTGCAAACACTGTTAGGTGTGGTACTTAGAAACGTAATTATAAGTCTCCTGCCATACCTTTTTTTAGCGTCTCGTCGTTTCTTAGCGTCAGATTAGTTACAAAAAAATAATTTGTTCATTATCATTAACATAGCACTAACAACTAGTTTTATAACCGGTTAACTGGAAATGGACGTGGCACGTTCGACATGGAGGGCTAAGGGGGAGGCCTTTGTCCAGCAGTGGACGTCTTCCGGCTGTTGATGATGAACTTGAAATGAATAGATGTATAAAGATCGTACTAGGTGACGCTCTGCGGTTTCTACCCTGCCCGTGCGCGAGAGAATAATACTGACTTATTGTAGGTATGTCAATGGTACTTATTTAATTAAATTATTTCGCAGGAAGCAGTCACCAGGCCGGGTGTGGCGCCTTTGGTCGAACTGAACGATGGCAAGCAAATACCAAGCCTCGGATTCGGCACTTGGCTAGGATTCAGTAAAGAGGTAAGTTGAGAATCACGCCATCTATTAGCGAGTAGTGTTAATACTTCGAGACGTTGACGTTTAACGTTTATTGTAGTTCGAAAGTTAACCGCTACCTCAGTTTGGCGCTTTTGCTGTTTTTGTGTATATATTTTATTTTAGTTTATCGAATATTTTATAATGATTAGTATTGTTTTTGTTTAGATAATTAACTAATTAATATTATAGTAAAAATGGCCGAACAAAAACTATAATATTAAGATATAGGTGGCGTTTTGTTGTTTTTGTTTGCCTAACTAAGTACTTTAAATATAGATTTCAACTTTATTACTTCGAAATAAGGACCAAAGCAGATTATTAAACGAAAATCTTCACCTTGAATCATTTTATCTGTTAAAAATGAACGCAGCATAATCCAAAAGGACTAGTTTCAAATAGGAGTATAGGAACAAAGGGACATATAGCGGAAAGCGACCTCGTTATTTTACTAAATACCTAGTGGCTTTATATTGTGGGTTCTAACTCTCTAATATTAACATAACATAACATAACATCACGCCTTTTATCCCCGAAGGGGTAGGCAGAGGTGCACATTATGCCACTGTACAATGTAACACCCACTTTTCACTATTTATGTTATGAGTCCCGTGTAATAGGGGTGAGCCTATTGCCATATACCGGGCACAATTCCAGACTCCGTGCTACTACTGAGATTTTTTTAAAAACCCAATAATACTTTGTCCGGCCCAGGAATCGAACCCGAGACCACTTGCCCGGCAGTCGCACTTGCGACCACTCGGCCAACGAGGCCGTCTCTAATATTGTGGTTTAATATTCCAGGGTGGCTTGGAGCCGGTGGTGGATGACAGAGTGCAGCGCGCCGTGGAGGCTGCCATCGACGCGGGGTACAGGCACATTGACACCGCAGCCATTTATGATACTGAAGAACAGGTAGGCACAACATACCGCAAGGTTTGCCGGGGCTCCGGCTCAAAACAGGAGTAGGAACGGGGTGGTGTTTAATCAATAAGACTCTGACACACTCTCGCCTCATCCAGTCAACAATTTAAAGAAAAATGACAAATAGTAATACGGTAGTTGATGACATCATCATCACCACCTATAAATGCCCACTACTGAGAGCAAAGCCTCTTCTCACACGGAGAAGGTTTGAGTATTAATCACCACGCTTGCTCAATGCGGGTTGGCGATTTCAAACTTAAAATAAGAAATTATGATTTCAGGTTTCCTCACGATGCTTTCCTTCACCGTTTGTCAGTGGTGTCTAAACTATCTTAGAAAGTACATATAACTCTATAAAGTGACATTGGTACTTGTCGTTGGTAGGTTTCGAACCCGCCCTTGATGCATGAGAAGCGGGCGTCTTAGCTTCCGGGCCAAGTTGAAGTCGGTTTTTTTAAACGTAAAATAGTTAATAAATAAAATATTACTAAAATATATTTGTTTTGTTTGGTCCAGGTGGGGAAAGCGATACAGAACAAAATAGCAGAGGGTGTCGTGGCTAGGGAGGACCTCTTCATCACTTCCAAGGTATGTAGATTTAAGATTGCTAACTTACACTCGCAACTTTGCCTACGTGAAAAGCCTACATAAATATGTCCTTCTTCATATACTTGTAAATATTCCTAGCTATGGAACGATCGGCACGCCAAGAATGATGTAGTGCCGGCCCTGAAAGAGTCCCTCGCGAAGCTCAACCTGACATACTTGGACCTCTACCTGATTCATTGGCCCATCGCACAGTATGTAAGTATAGTTAATTTTATAGGTAACAATACAAGCAGGCAGATCGCCTGATGGTAAGCAATCAGCACCGCCCATAGATACTCGCAATACCAGAGGAGTAACAGGCGTGTTGCCGGACTTTGAGGGGATGGGGAATACTGAGAAATTGGCTTTAATTACACAGCGTTACACAAAGCCTTAATTGTTTTATGCCGATGTACTTTAACTCGTCGAGTACCGGTTTTATAGACACAATTAAAGAACAATAGGTCGCGGTCACCGGTGACCGCTTGGTGTTTGACAGTTTAAGTCCGTAGTATCGTTACGGTCGTGCCGGCCCAATCGTGCCGAAGCATATGGCTTTCCCTACCATATTTGCCCGACTGTAGGAAGGGTATTGTTATACATTATTTAATTATTGCCACTAGGTCTATTCTACTCGAACTAATTTGTGGATCACGCAAACAATTGTTCCCGTGACAGGCACAGCGTCCGTACCAAATATAATTAGTAAATTATTAGTATGTGTAATTGTAATATCAATTTGGTGTTAAAATAACATCAAAATTACGTTACAATCTATGCTATTAGATTTTCCGTTTCAAGTACATATATCTTCTATATTTTTTGCGTCGCGTAGGAAAAGGATCTCGTCTTGAAGTATGTGAACTAATTGATAATCTTTATATTGGAATTGACAGGCAAACGGCACATACTATGACACAGACTACGTGGAAACCTGGAAGGGTATGATCGACGCACAGGTCCTGGGTCTGGCCCGCTCCATCGGAGTGTCCAACTTCAACATCACCCAGCTCGACCGGCTCTTCACCATGACTCCAGTCAAACCAGCTGTACTGCAGGTCGAGGTAACTGTTCATTAATTTATTTATTAGTTACACTCGCGCGATTTCACCACAAACATTAATACTCATATTATAAATGCGAAACTATATGTCTATTCATTTGTCCGTCGTTTACGGCAAAACGGATTTTTTTATAGAATAGGAGGCAAACGAGCATACGGATCAGAAAATATATAGATATATACTATAATAAATAATAATACAGATAAGTATAGTTAATTTTTATGGGTTACAATACAAGCGGGCAGATCACCTGATGGTATGCGACCAGCACCGCCCATGGACAATCGCAACACCAGAGGAGTCACAGGTGCGTTGCCGGCCTTTTAAAAAGGAATACGCTCTTTTCTTGAAGATTTGAAGGTCGTATCGGAGTAAGGAGTGACGAATTAACGTGATTTTTTAGGTGGACATAGTTGAAGGGATGGAGAGTGACATAGGCTACCTAGGATATATAAAACATCAAGCTATCATTAAGAACCGAGCAGTGTGTGCTAATTTTTTATGCTTTTTTTTGTTTTATTTCTCTTCCAGGTGAACATAAACTTGCAGCAGGCGGAGTTGATCAAGTTTTGCAAGGAGCATGGTATTGCGGTGGTGGGGTACACGCCGTTCGGTTCCCTGTTCCACAACAAGGCGGCCCCCGATGCCCCGCCTCCCAGGACTGACAACCAGACCCTGTTGAAGATCGCTGACAAGTACCACAAGACCATCGCACAAGTCAATTTGAGATATCTCGTAAGTGTTTGAGGTTATCTTTTACACGCTTTTATTTAACTTGATGTGTGAGTGTGTGTGTGAAGTGCAATCTTCCGTCTGAATTTTGAAGCAGGTATCTTCAACCGCTTGAGCTGAAATTTTGTATACACGTTTAGTTTGCGTGACCATAAATGCTAAGCTGCATAAAACCTTGTTTTTAAAGGATTTAAATCTTATATCTTATACTATTATATAAAGCGGAAGAGTTTGTTTTTTTGTTTGTTTGTTTGAACGCTCTAATCTCCGTAACTACAAGTGTGATTCGAATAATTATTTTTGTGTTCGATAGCGCATTTATCGAGGATGGCTATAGGCTATAAAACAGCACGCTACGACCAATAGGCGCTGAGCAGAGCGTGTGAAACCGCGCGGAAGTAGCTAGTTTAATATACATTTCTAAAACACTCTGTACCTACTTAATTGTAACTACTCACCGATAGATGGCGTTAAAACAAAATTTCACTTACAGGTGGAATTGGGAGTCATACCGATCCCGAAGTCGGTCACGCCGAAGCGTATTAACGAAAACATAGAAGTGTTTGATTTCCAGCTGACGCAAAACGAGAAGGATTGGATGAAAGCATTCGACAAGAACTATAGGACTATACCTGTTACCATGTGGATAGACTCACCGTACTACCCCTTCCATAAGAAATAATAATAAATAATAACATTTACCGACCACGTCTTTTAATCAGATACTCTTCGAAGGGCTTTTCTTTTTTTTGAGATTGGATGAGGTAAGAGGGAGTGTCAGACTCTTACTGACTAAAAACCACCCCGGTTCCTACTCCTGCACTTCGAGCCGGAGTCCCAGCAAGCTGTCAATTCCTCCGCGACTCCGTATCGGAATCAGCCCCATCTGTAGTGGTTTGACGGCTCTTTACAGCACGCGGAATGCGATGCGCCGTACGCTCAAACTAAGATTCAAACATGAGGGATATCGCATAAGGTTTGTTAAGTTCAGCTAAGCTTACTGTGTCCCAGTGTGGTAGGGGTTAGCAAAATACCAGTGTTAATAGTCTGGCAATCATACACATAACACTTCAAAATAAAACTACTAACAAAAAAAAAAACAGAAATAATTGACAACAAAACCACTTGAATACTGAAACCAAAACAAACACAAAACAGGCACGAAAACAAAACACAACACATATATTATAGGGATCTCCCCCCTTACACATGACGTATGCAGTGCGTGGAGCGCGCCGAGTAGCGGCGGCGCGCGGTTGCACCAGTTGCCCGTGCAGACGCACGCGTGGAAGCGCGCGTACAGCGAAATGCCGCGCGACAGCGGCAGCAGAGTCGCCATCGGGCTGGCGATGCAGCCGTTCCTCACGTTCTGTAACACAAGCTCTGTAGCGCACACACACACACACACACAGCGCCCTGCTCGGTACTCACGATGAGCGCCAGCTCCAGCTTGGCCAGCCGCTTGCTGCCGAAGTGCTTGCCCAGCAGTGGCCGGAACTTGGCGCGGCAGGTGCGCTGCGTGTACACGCCCGAGAGGTCCGTCCAGCGGACTGCGCAGCCGCCTGTGAACCGCCCGTAGATGGAGCGTGGCTCCGACGGGTTCACCACGAAGTTGTGTCTGCGACGATCAAAGTAATTAACTAATCCTTAATAATACAGTTACTTTATAAAGTCAGTAAGGAATCCAGCAGCAGGTACACTCACACGTCCATGCGTCTGCAATACTTCCTGAAGGACGCAATGTGGCTTCGGGAGCGAGCGTCGACGGGCGCCAGCGGCAAGAAGTCCCCGCCGAACGCATCAGCGCAGTGCGCGCTGCGCGGGATCTCCGTGGTCGTCAGCCCGCAGACGAAGCACTGGACAGTGCAGGACGCGATCAGGACACAAGTAGCTGCACTACCGACTTGAACCTTGGCGACGTACCTTGCTGACGACGGGGGATCTAGAGAAGTCGTAGATGGCGGGCGCGGTGGTCGTAGTGGTCGGCTCGGAGGGCGTAGGACACGACGGAACACCGGATCTGAGGACCAGAGCCAGGGTTCACACAGCCGGACACTACACTGTGCTAGACTTGTCTCATTTGATGCTTACTCTAGTAGCGTCTTGTTAAACTCCTGGGTGATATTCCACTCATAATCGTCCGTGAGATTCGCGAGAATTTCAACAATCGCCTTTATGTCAATGTAAGGAGACTTCTTAGTCTTCTTACTTACTGCAGTGGTTGTCTCGACGGTAGTACTATCAGGAGTGTCAGTAGTTGTCTCAGAGACCTTAAACAAAATTGCATGATTAGCTAAATCTGAAACATTGTCGAGTAATATTACTAGGATAATATCGCTTTGAAAATAATAATTACATTGCCTGTTTCGTCTCCCTGAGGATATGCTTTACCCACAACAGGTGGCCGTCGCTTCATTAAAGGTGCCAGCAGGGTGGTATAATTATGATTTAAAAATCCCATATTATCTCCCCAAAACGCTAGGTAATTTTTGATGGTCCTATCAGCAAAATAATATGCATGTCTTACCACAGTCACTGTATCCACCCATCCTGTGTAGTTGAAAGTCAGGGTGCTGTTCGGAGCTGTTATACTTTGATTCTGTAGATAAGTCTGGCCAGTGTGCATTGTGTCGGACATCCTTAACAGGTACTCCTATATTTAATAATGAATTGTGTAAGAGAAAAGGTTCTATCGCCATGTTATAAGCAGAAACTACAACAAAGATAGGAATAGAACTTCGATCAACATTCATGTGATCTTGTAAGTACGTCATTTTACAGTGCTGCACCTGACCATTTTTGACAATCTCGAGAATACCAGTGATGATGACAGGGTTTGGAAATTAAAAATCTATTTAGTCTATTTAAAACGAATCAAAGTTTACGAGTGGAATCTTTCTAAGTATAAGGGTGCGTCCACATCTGACGAATGCTCGGCAAATGCGCAGCTCGCGTGGTGCTCTTGACCCGCCCTTGAGCTGCGCGCTTGCATTTAAAATTATTATTGTACTTAATTAATTCTTATGAATATTCGCCAGGTGTGGACGCACCCTAAAACGTATTTAGAAGTGACGTGATAAGTATTCCAAAACAGGATATCGACACATACTAGTATAAGACCAAAATAGATTTCTGTGATAATAATATCGACGAAAGTATTTTTTCTGTACTAGATGTTTCAAAATGATCTACCAGACGGACATGCAAAAAATAATTAGTTCACACTACCTCTATTATATGACTTTATATTCAATATTCAAAAATATTTTGCACTCACTGTGAGGCTCCAGTGTTGAGCGTCAACAGTGGGCGTCCAGTGATCGGTGTCAACTAGTGGGCGCCAATGTAAGGGCCTCAAAGTCTGGCCATCCAAATTAGCCATCCACTGCTGGAAGTCCAAATTGGGATTCCAACTTTTGCCACCGTCTGTAGAGCTCAAAGTTTCACCATCTTCAGTAGGATTTGGATCCCAATGTTGTATCATTTTTCTCACTTCCGCCTTGATGTCTTCCTTGTCGTATTTCGAAGTTGTCTCGACCTGTTACATGTGGAGAACAACCTGAGCTCACAATTTGAATTGTAATTTAACGAACAACTGTCAAAGCATTGAAGAATAACCTACCATTTAGGCAGGGTCGAGACCTTCCACGAGTGATTAAGAAACTATACATTTACGTGGTGGCCCGGAGGTTTAAGACGCCCGCTTCTCATGCATGAGGATGCGGGTTCGAAACCTACCTACGGCAAGTACCAATGTGACTTTTTTTCCAAGTTATATGTACTTTCTAAGATTATTTAGACACCACTGACAAACGGTGAAGGAAAACATCGTAAGGAAACCTGGGCTTATAATTTCTAATTATAAGTTTGTAATCGCCAACCCGCATTTAGCAAGCGTGGTGATTAATACTGAAACTTTCTCCGTGTGAGAAGAGGCGTTGCTCAGTAGTGGGCACTTATAGGCTGTTGATGATGATGACATTTGTCAGAATCAGAACCTTTTAAACGACGATCTCCAACTCATCTGTCAGTCGTGGAATTCGTGAAGATTATGGCAACCCTTACAGTCCAGTAGAAGATTGTCACTGTTATATATTGGTACTAGCTACTCTCACTCGATTACATTGGCTTGTCGGCGCCTATTGATCCTAGTTTTATGTTTTACTAGCTTTTACCCGCGGCTTCACTCGCGTCACAAAAGGATAAAAAGTAACCTTTGTGACATATACCAATACACACAGCGCCATCTATACCAATAATTTCGTTTTCCCTCGAGAATACCAAATTTTTCCGGGATAAAAATTCAAAGCAATCGGTTTAGTAGTTACGGCGTAAATGTGGAACAAACAAACAAACTCACTTTCCGATTTATAATATTAGTAAGGATTACTATAGACGTAGCCTTCCTCGATAAATTAATGCAACGCAGCGACGACGTGGGCAGTTTTATTGGTTTCTTAGCAAGATGCAGGCATTTGTCATTTGTAGGTCACCTGACATTTGTGAAGGATGCATGAATTCGTCAAATGACGCAACGTGGACAGTTACCTTTAGCCGTTTGTCATCCTCACTCGAGCGCCAGCGTTGAACATCTAGCGGTGACCATCGAGTGGGTGGCCATTGCATGGTCGTCTCATCTGGTGTTGGGGCTGATGTCCCCTGGTCAAATATAATCCTTTGTCAATGTGCTGTATGTAATGTATACACAAAACCAACGGATCGGATTAAAAGGAAACTCAGTAACATAGTTATTTAGTATACAAGTACGAAAATAAATATTTATTCAGTAGGTACAGGGATGACTGAAAACCCCGAGGCATAATTTAATGAGCACAGTAAACCATGGCCATGTGATACCCTTAAAACAGAAGTAGTGTGAGTCGTGGCGGAGCTGGGTATACTTTGCCCACTGTCCTTTGACCCAAACAAACAAATCGAGAAAGCTAAATAAAACTGATAAACTACGAATCCCTTGAAAAACTACCAAACCTTACTTTTTCGCCAATCGCAGAGTTCCAATTATGGAAATTCGTAGCATTTGAGTTAGCACCATCATCAGGCCAGATGTGCTTCCATCGTTCTACACAGTCTGTAGGAAGGCTCTGATGGACAACCTCGGTAATGTTAGAGGGCTTTAGTACATCAGGATTCCAGACCATGACATCAATGGTAGGAGTTCTGTCCTGGATCGTGACGGCTGCATCAGTTGCTTCTGCATTGACGTCTTTATTAATAGGTTCCCATTGTTTCGCTGTATAAGGCATCCAATTCTGTCGAGTTACCTCAGTGACGTACCCATGTAATCTCGTGGCCTGACCGTTAGCTTCTGGTTGCCATATCTGTGCGCTATCTGTTCCACCGACATATTCATAAATTTCGGTATCTTCTTTGTTAGTTGATCGTTTTTCTAACGATTCTGGGCTTTCTGTTTGCATAGTCGTACTTGGATTATCTGGGAAAATCAAATAAAAAATAATTTCGCATGTGTAAGTGTGGGAGAGCCATGCTTCGGCACGAATGGGCCGGCTCGATCGGAGCGAAACCACGGCCTCACAGAAAACCGACATAAAACAACGCTTGCGTTGTGTTTTGTCGTATGAGTGACGTTACCGGAGGCCCAATTACCCCCCTCCCCAGTCTCCCCCATTCCGGAATCCCCCACAATCCTCAAATTCCCAATTCGCCAAAGGCCGGTAATGCTTGTAATGCCTCTAGTGTTTCAGGTGTCCCTGGGCGACGCCGATTGCTTACCATCAGGTGATCCGTCTGCTCGTTAACCGGCAGTCATATAAAATAAAATTAAATAATTGTTTTTTTTTCTGTAATTCTAAATTATTCCTAGTCATGCAATTTTCCTATCCTTGAAAAATTATAGGTATAACTTATCAGATAGTTAACTAGTTTAGTACTTGAAACTATAGAGCTAATAGATTACGAATCAACATTGACAGACGACCTCATTAAGGTCGCAGGGAACCCCTGGATGTAGGTCGCTACCAACCGACCTATTTGGAAGTCATTGGGGGAGGCCTATGTTCAGCAGTGGACGTCCTGTGGCTGATATGATGATGATGATGATTATGAGCCAAACTTTACATTTTCCTTTCAAAGTTGTACCGTTGGTCGGTAGGCTGGGTAAATTTTATCCATATTATAAATCAGAGTTTGCGAACTGCTGCTCTAGTTGGAACAAGTGGGTTTTAGGGCCAACTTTTTTTTTTGTCCATCTTGGTGGAAATTAGACAAGGGAGTGAGGGGGTTTTGACTCGCCAGAGCCATGAGCCGGTCTGTGGCCGTTATCAGCACCCGGTCTTCTGATGCGGCCCCGCAGCCTAATGGTAGCAGAGAGGTCCTTCTAAATGATGTGTAATTGTACCTTTTTCTGCTTTTTCGTCGATGTTGTCATTACGGCTTGGCATATTAGTATCTTGTTCTTCAGACCTTTTCATACGCGTAGGACCTTCAACTTCAAACGTTGCCGAGGTAATTCCGGTGTCTAGAAAATTTGTTAGTCATTGTTATATTACGAGATTATGTTATATTATTATTCACAAACATAACATCACGCTTTTATCCCCGAAGGGGTAGGCAGAGGTGCACACAGAAGTAACACCCACTTTTCACTATTCATGTTATTAGTCCCATGTAATAGGGGGTGAGCCTATTGCCATAATCGGGCACAGTTCCAGACTCCGTGCTACTACTGAGATTTTTTTTCTAAAACCCAGTAATTTTTTTCCCGGACACGATTCATTATTAAAATAACTGGTGACCATTAGATTTCAGATGGGCAAAGAAAAGATTAGATGAGGCTCGCGATATAACAGGCAGCGCGTAGTGCATCTACCGGCAATTGTTTTTATCACAGAACATATAAAGGATGTTCTGTGGTTTTTATGGTATTATCTGATACTACGCTTAATAAGCTTTCGGCGCCGCCCATGGATGACAACACTAGAGGAGCATTACATGTTGTTACGAGTACTTTTGGGGCTTAGGGATTTAGGATTGGAGTTGGGGAATTGAGACTCTGGTCCTCAGACGACGAAGCGCAGCGCAAGTGTTGTTTCACGCCGGTTTTCGGTACCTAAGACCGTGGTATCACTCCGGTCGAGCTGGCCCATGCGTGCCCAAGCATGGCATGGGTACGTTTTGGTCCCGTATACCGTACCTTCAATGCCATCATCGTAGAAATCAAAAGTGTCGTACTCCTCATAGTCCCTGGCCAGGTTTTCAGAGACCCTAGCCAACAGGCACAGTAGCACACCAGCCCACATCGCCCCTAAAGGGGGGTTTCTTCCTTATAATTTAAAGCATATTCTATTGTAGCACACGTGAAGAGTGTTTATTTAGTAATCATCACTTAAATTATTGTTATTGACAAAATTTGACGTTTTGTGACTTGCCATAGAAGGGTGCGGTTCCACTGAGGCAGAGCAGAGCAGGTCGGCCATTCTGTGTGAGCTTCATCGCATTCTCGCCCGTCATTGGTCGAGATTACACACGCATCCAATGACATTGTGGGCCGCGATCAACTTCACCTCAAGAGTTCGAATTGACATCTTACAGAATAGTCTAGCAGAACGGCGAAGAGAGACATGGCTTGAAATCCACATCTATTCTCTACTCCACTTCACATGAAACTATTGGCGAAGAGGACCGGAATCGTTAAAACTATCGGGAAAACCGGCTGCGTTAGACTAGCGCCGAAAAACTCAATCACCAGGCCCTAAGCGATGCGAATAGGTCAAGCAACCCCTATACTTATTATACTCTTTGGGTCAAGCAGCTCCGCCGCGCCCCACTGCGCTTCTGTAGAAACAGAGTTCTTTCACAACTCAGCTCCGCTCCGCAGTGCTCCACTCTGCTTCAGTGGAACCGCACCCTTGTAAATTTTTTACTTTTACTAGTCATAAGTCTATGAGCACACAGCTCACAGACAAGGACGTTTAAAAAGGATGATTAATGCAAGCTAACAGTAGGATGGTCCGTCGACATATACTAATGGACATACCGTACGCGTATAATCTGCAGTAATTTTATGGTTTGAAAAGAGTGAGAGAGATGGCCTATGCTTTCGGTCTAGCGCTATCTCTTTCTCGCTCATAACGTCTTAACTATGGTACTATATTGAGAGAGATAAAGATAGACCAAAACTTCGTTTCCTCTCTTTCTTTCGGAGTGCCACAATTCCACAATTCTCATCTCTAAGGCATGTCCATTAGTATATTATGTCGATGGGATGGTCTATGGTGCTCTAGAATCCTCCTTTGGACGTACCGAATACGCATTGCTGTAGGGGAAATTCATTTGGGTGATACTGGTTTTGCTGAACCTCCTCATCGGAAACTCATCTCCTAAACATTTATAAACATAGTAATCGTTTTATTTATAGTTTAACTAATATTCTAGCCAAATTCTCATAGCATTTATAATCTACATAGTATTCTTATATAATCCAGAATAACTTATTCTCTCTCTTTTTTTTGAGGAGGGAAAATCATCGAATGACTTCTCCCGCCTTGAGTGGGGCGAGAGGGAGTGTCAGACTCTTACTGACTAAAAACCAAAACCACCCAGGTTCCTACTCCTGCTCTTCGAGTGGGAGCCCCGGCGACCCGTTAGGCATTCCGCGGCTTCGCATCGTGCATCAGCCCTACTGGGTGGTCTGATCCGACGCGCTGTAGGCACGGATCTAAATCTGGTCGGGCGGCGACTTACCCTTGCATACCACCCGCAAACCCGCACTTACGTTGGTCGCTATATGGTACTGTCTACCTCTACTATTTGGGACCAATTGTATTGTTGTATTATTATTGTATTATTGTACATTTGTATCGGTTGTATTTTTTATGCGATAAGTCAGTAAACGAGCAGACGGATACAATGGTAAGCAATCGGCGTCGCCCATGGTCACCTGGAACACCAGAAGCGTTACAAGTGCGTTACCGGCCTTTTGGGGATTAGGAGTTTGAGGATTGTTTGGGATTCGAGGATTGGGGAGATTAAAGAAGGGGGGAGGGAGCTGCGCCTCCGGTAACCTCACTCACACGGCGAAACACAACGCAAGCAGGTATCACTCCGGTCGAGCCGGCCCATTCGTGGCTTAGCATGGTTTTCCCACACTTGAAATTGGTATTGTATCATTCATATCCATTTGACATCTCTTGCCTTCCTCGCTGGGTCGTGTAATCTATCAATACTCTTTGTATCATCAGTCATTGCGGTGACAGTTCAAACTTCTATATTTATTTATACTTTTTGGATGAAATCACGAAATAAGTTTTAGTGATTTAAATTAATGAATTAAATTGTTGAGGTAATCTTGTTACCCCTGGCAGGGATGTGGGTGGGCGTGATACTCCTGGTGGCTGTGGTGGAGGCGCGCTCGAACTTTGAGTACGACAACTATTACCACCAGGCACCTGATGAGAACGCTGGACGTGACCTGTACGAGTTCTATGGTGGTTCGTAGTTTCTTACTAATCTTCTAAATCTAGTATAAAGGATTGTGTACGGAGACCGAGTAACAGTGCTCCCTGATAAACCTGACATTTTAAACGGCTATGTCTTAGTCGTGTGGCAAGGGTGGAGATTTATGGAAGACCCTGTTTGTATAGAAGATGTCGCGGTGGCCCGGAGGCTTAAGACGCCCGCTTCTCATACATGAGGGTGCGGTTTCGACACCTACCAACGGCAAGTACTAATGTAGCTTTTCCCAAGTTATATGTACTTTCTAAGATTATCTAGACACCACGGACAAATGGTGAAGGAAAACATTGTGAGGAAACCTGGGGTATAAATCGCAATTGCATGACTGCTCAACACTGGGTACTTATAGGCTGTTGATATGATAGAAGAAGCCTCTCAGTAATGGACATAAGTGCTATAAAAGAGCAGCTTATTCTTTATTTTTATTGTGTAAAGATAACTTTGGTGGTTTGTGACCCTGTAGCAGGTTGTTGTTGCATAGAATGGAAGATGATAATATGTAGGGAACTTGATATTTGGCCAGGATGTAGCAGAACACCAATAGTTTTATTTATTCCCATATATTTATTTTAAATTCTCTATAAAATATATTTTTAAATACTACTTACAAAAACATAAAAATAATATTTAAAAATATAAAAAATAGGAGCCGACCAGTAGCGGGAGCATGGTCCAAGCTACCGGTGGTTAGGGCTCCAGAGACAGAAACCTCCTCACGATACGTGCCGTTTCAAGGAGAACTGCCTTCTGTATCAGGCCCTTGACCCAACTGCCTAACGCTAGCCTCCTAAGGTGGTTGTCGAGGCTATTAGGGATTAACCCATTGGCCGACACGACTATCGGCACAATGATAGCCGAATCTACATTCCACATGTCGACAACCTCGTGAGCCAAATCAAGATATTTGATTTGTTTATCTTTTTCAGCTTTCACGAGGTTCTCATCATGAGGAATAGTGATATCGATTATCATTATTTATTATTTATTTATTATTTATTTATTTATTTATTATTTATTCCATTTTTATTATTGTTCATTTTTGGTGCCTACTGCTACGAGCGAGCCTCGATTTATCCGTTTCGTTGCGTCGTTGCAACGGAAGAACGTATGTGAGCCCACCAGGGTTGCGACGACGAGACGTGAACGTCGGACCGGTCATATAACATATATGGAAAACGACGCAACGCAGCGCAACGGAGAAGTGGGCCCCGGGTATATATATCAGAGGCGTTAGTACGAGATTGTTTTACGGTGAAAGTAATATAATAATAAAAATGGAATAAATAATGGCGCTGTGATTGGCCGGCTCCAATGAACCAACCAATCAGAGCGCCGGACGAGGTTTCGTTTCAATTACTTTAAACGAAAAAGAAACTCGTACTAAGCCCTCTGTATTGTCAAGCGCAACACAGGACGTCCACTCGTCTACTCATAAGATGCATAATCCTATGCATAATCTAATCATCAAATGACTTCTATCGGCTTAATAATAGAATATCTTATTGACTAAAATCCGCCCCGTTCCTAGTCTTCCTTCGAGCCGGAGCCCCGGTGACCCTTGTGGGTGTGTGCACCTATCTTAGTATCATAAATGGCAGGTAGCTTCAACCGGCTTGACTGGAAGACATTGGGGGAAGCCTGTGATGATGATGATCATGGTTGTACAGTAGCAGGTTACACAGCGACTGTGACGTTAATTAAAATGTATTGTCCGTAGAGATGCACACGGAAGTGACGCCGATGATAGATACCACCTCTAACAGATTCACAAGGATCCGAAGATTCGGAGAACGCATCTCGAGTATCTCGAGTAGTACCCCTGTAGACTTACGGTACATCAAAGGTAAGGTTATTCTTTTTATTTTTCAAATCAAATCAAATCATCGAATTAAAAATATGCGTGTGCGTGTGTGTATAAGCGCTGTAGCGCAACTGATAGTAGTTTTACGGTGGCAGTGGACTTTTGACCTTTGACCGTACATAGAAGTGACGTCACGCGACGTTTTAAACTGTCAAACACCAAGCGGTCACCGGTGACCGCGACCTATTGTTCTTTAATTGTGTCTATAAAACCGGTACTCGACGAGTTAAATCAATATATCGTCGAAAGTATTCGTTTCTGTAAGAAAATAAAAATACGTGTGTAATGTTTTAAAATAATTTACCAGACGGACATTAAAGTAAAAATGAGGCATTTGCCCTATTAGCTAGTATTTATTATCTATACGACAAAGTAAATATTATATAGCTACTAACTGTGATTGGACAAAGCCACCTCACGCTACATGAGCGTCATCTCGTGTGCGAAAAATGGTAGCCCTCGTTTATATGACTGTTTTAAGGTGCTTTGAAGGAGATCCTTGCTGGACATGACCTAGACGGTGTGAACGACGAGCCAGCGGACATAATAGAATTAAATGAAGACGACGAGTTGACTACCACACAAACGAACATGCTGACATCTACACTTTCAACAGAGACATACACAGTACGTACACACTTCTGAGAGCTTTGTACGGGTTTGTTATACGAAACGAAACCGCGTCCAACGCTCTGATTGGCCGCCTCCAATGATCCATTGCCAATCATAGTACTGAACGCGGTGTCGTGTCAATTACTTTAAACTATGTCGAACCATAGAGTTGCTTAACGTGTGGGAGCACCCCTTTACTTTTCTCCAAATGTCGTTAAGTGTCCCTTATGTCGTTAACTAGGGCTCTTAAAATTTAAAAGAGGTTGGTGAGCATGCAACTCAATTACACGTATTGTAGTATATCTTAGACCATGTTGGGTACCGGTAACAACGACGTATGGCACACACATCACACAAAGTGTTGTTCCGTGCGGGAAGCGAACCCGCGACACGTTGCACGGCAGCCGGTTGCCCAGCCACCGCACCAACCGTGCAGTCAGACACATAAAATACTTTGTACATTGAATAGGAAGTGTCCTCTAAAATTGCGTGTTGTTTTTTGATTGGTAGATTTAATTGTATATTGCAAATCGGGCTTATAAATTTACGACCGAAAATATTTACAAAAACAAAAATCAACCAAAAACAACACAATATTTCCTACTCGTCATATTAAATTAAACTCGAACTGAGTTTTAGAGAAAAATCGCGCGTATATTGTTATGAAAACAACACATCGTCCGTTGCGGTACAACCGTGAATGTCTGCGGCCCGAGCGCACCCCGACATTAAGCTCGTAGGTATATACCTATATACAAGGTGTAGTTTTGAAACCATGTCATTTCTGGGGGCATGTCACAGAAGTCATAAAGGTTTAATGTAAGAGAAAATTTCGGGCCAATAGTTAAAAATACGGCTATAATAAATCGTTTAAGTTCGACAGTATTTCAGAATAAACGACAGCAATGTTTCTTATTGGAGTTTTATGGAATTAGGTATAATATTAATTACGTGTTTGAGTTTGTGTGTATTAAGCCGCGTTATAAAGCTAGTTACAAGACGGCGGCGTGTACTTCGCACTTACTGATTTCCGTGATTTAAATAAAAATGAAAAATATTTACCTAGAATTTTTTTTTATTGCTTCGGACTCAGAATCCATAACCGAGTTACTTCCTAGAAAATGACGCGGCATTAAAACACCTTGTATAGCTCGCGTTTCGTCGGTTTGTATGAAATTGGAATACTGTATGATATTATTAGCGCGGTAATGCCTAGTTCGCGCAACGCTAGTATTTTAGTCTAGACGCGAGTATATTGTAGTTTGCTCTCGCTTCGAATTGAGGGCAGAAGCGAGAGAGGGCACTAAATAGGTACCTAGTCCTAATTGTGCATAAGCGCGGGCTTGTGTACGTCATGAGGGTGGATCGTTCACGGATCAGAACCAGAAATAATGTCTATTTTACTGCAAAGTGCAATGACGAGTTAATATTTTCTTATCTGTATGTTTCAGTTTCCTGCATTAGAATTGGACGACTATAGAAGACACGTAAATATAATTTAATATTATATCTTATATATACTTATTATATAAAGCCGAAGAGTTTGTTTTTTTGTTTGTTTGTTTGAACGCGCTAATCTCCGTAACTACAAGTCTGATTTGAATAATTCTTTTTGTGTTGGATAGCGCATTTACCGAGGATGGCTATAGGCTATAAAACATCACGCTACGACCAATAGGAGCTGAGCAGAGCGGGTGAAACCGCGCGGAAGTAGCTAGTTAATTAATATAAATTCCTTACCTATTAGTGTATTGCGTCTGTCTGTATGAACATGATAATCTCAAAAACTACTGCACGATATGTTGTACAGTTTGTTAAATTGAATAATGTGATTTCTAGAAAAGATTTACTTTGATTCTGGCCAAGATCATTTGACAAGGCGAGGATATCTGCTAGGTGGTAAATACCGTTGAAACAAATAATTGGGTCTTTGGCAAAGGTAATTGGGCCTCCGGTAACCTCACTCACACTACGAAACACAACGCAAGCGTTAAAGTCAGATGTTGTTCCACGCCAATTTTCAGCTCGGCCGTAGTATCACTCCGGTCGAGCCGGCCCATTCGTGCCGACGCATGGCTCTCCCACACTTTATTTAATGACTGTTATTTTTGTTGTTAATTTTTATTTTCTCTTTTTCCTCAGGAAGGAAATTATACAGTAAGTATAGAGTATCTTATATATATAACATTATTACAATATCAATGTGTGGTGATTGCGGACACTGTAGAACGTACAACGTTCCTGCAACACTAACTGCTGCACGTTATGACTTGATAATAATTTACTTTATCTCCGTCGCCTATACCCCGGTAAGGCCTCGGTATCACTTTAATAACCAATTTCCTCATATCACCCACATAAAGGGTGACAAATCAACATCGGGCTATGCTGCGCTGTACTGCTCGCTCGTCTAACATTTTATTTAAATGAGGATACAAACAAACGATGCTGTGAGAGGCTACGCACTGTTTAAATGTGCTGCAGTCTCGAGCGAGACACGCTCCCCGCCGCTGTGCCGCGCTGTGCCGCGCTGTGTCGGGCTGCGCAACTTAGAGCACGCTGCACGCCAGGCCAGGCCTCATTCGACAGCTGCTGTGATTGGACTCAAATCCCTTCCTTCACGTTAGCCCCTATTGGAGCCGCCGCGCTGAATTGTTTCTTTACTTTTTTACGTCGATGTTACTTTTTTTTCTTAATTTTCAATCTTAATTATTATTTTTTGTCCTCAGACACCTACAGATTATGTAAGTATAGAGTGTCTTATACAGGTGTCCCTGAAAGTATGGATAAAATCGAACAGGGGCACATGCTGTATGATAGATACAGAAGGTCGTTCCCTAACTTTTTACTCCAGTAATGTAAACAGAAGCTATCGTCAATGTAATTTTTATTTTTAGACTTCGTGCAAGAGTGGACCTTTCTTATCATTGTACTCAGTAAATTTTTTTATGGCATAAGCTGGTAATCAAGCACACGGATCACCTGATGGTAAGCAATCGGCGTCGCCCGTGGACATCTGGAACACCAGAGGCGTTACAAGTGCGTTACCGGCCTTTTGGGGATTAGGAATTTGAGGATCGTTGGGGATTCAAGAATTGGGGAGATTGGGGAAGGGGAGGATAATTGGGCGTCCGGTAACCTCACTCACACGACGAAACACAACACAAGCGTTGCTTCACGTCGGTTTTCTGTGAGGCCGTGGTATCACTCCGGTCGAGCCGGCCCATTCGTGCCGAAGCATGGCTCTTCCACACTTACTCCCACACACTATTTAGGAAATGACCTCCTATGCCTCGTTCGATTTGACCAATACTTCCAGGGGCACCTTTCTAAAACCCTTAAATATAAGCCACCGAATGAAGCACGAGTTTGCGGGCGGCGAGCAAGGATAGTTCGCCGTCCAACCAGAACCAGACCCGAGCATACGTACTCAAAGCGCCATCAGACACCACCACCACGGACGGAGCCCAGTAGAGCTGATACCCGACATGAAGCCGAGGAAGACCTAACAGGTTGCTGGTTGTTGGGGCTCCAGCTCGAAGAGCAGGAGTAGAAACGGGATGGTGTTTAATCAGTAAGAAGCATGACGCTCCCTCTCGCCTCACCAAAGGCGGGAGGTGTCATTGGATGATTTTCCCCTTTTAAACTGTCAAACACCAAGCGGTCACCGGTGACCGCAACCTATTGTTCTATAATTGTGTCTATAATGACGATACTCGACGAGTTAAAGAAAGTATAACAATCTCTTTTGTGAAAACCGCAATAAAATAGGTTCAGCCAATTGCGAGATATACAAGGTCATTTCACTTCATCATGCTACTTGCTAGGTATATATTGTTAAGTACTAGGTATAAACATTTACGATTATGTTAATTCATTTTCTTATTTTCTTTTTGTCCTCAGTACTATCCTAGCCCAGTAAGTATAGACTACCTTATATATAACCTTCAAACAAATCGAACGCGTGACAGTTGAAAGTCCAACTTTCGTCCAATGGGGAAATAGCTAATGCCCACCATTGGACGTTCTATATACCTAACATAACACAACATCACGCCTTTTGTCCCCGAAGGGTTAGGCAGAGGTGCACATTATGCCATTGTACAATATAACACCCACTTTTCACTATTTATGTTATGAGTCCCATGTAATAGGGGGTGAGCCTATTGTCATATACCGGGTACAATTTCAGACTCCGTGCTACTACTGAGAATTTTTTTAAACCCAGTAATACTTTGTCCGACTAGGGAATCGAACCCAAGACCCCTTGCCGGGCAGTCGCACTTGCGACCACTCGGCCAACGAGGCACTCACTCTGTACTATATCTGTGTTTAAAATAATGTTTTTTAAACACAGATATAGTACAGAGTGAGTAATGAGATAATTTAAATTTTCTTTTATCTAGACGGGCGATTATACAGACACGCTGGATACTGCGACTCCGGGGCCTCCGGTGAGTATTCGATGTTGTTAATGAGTTTAGCGCGTTGTACCTGTCTGTACAGACGATAAAAATGTGCGCGGTAAAAATGTTGTGCAGATCGCATGCAGACGTAACTTTATTCGCCCTCAGGACACGGTGGAACACACAGTGGGAGAATGCCCTGCGTGGGCTGAGCACCGCCGTGCCCTCGGGGAAATGATCGGCGATGGCGACCTCTCGCGTCCGGGCCTAGTGCGGGCCATGATGCGGAGCGAGGGGGACTGGGATGCCGTCTCCTCCTTTTGCGAAGCAGTCATGCTAGCTAAGGAGGAGGCGGGACGCGTGAGGCAGCGAAGCGCTGCCTCCTCGCAACCCAGCCATCGCGAAGTACACACCGGGCGTCAGGGATCGCGAGACGATCTCCGGCCACCGTAACCGCGGGCCTGCGGACGGCGAGCATGGGTGGCTCCCCGTCCGACCAGAAACAGACCCGAGCGTACGGCGCGTCGCGTTCCGCGCGCGCCTCAAAGAGCCATCAGACCATAAAAAAAATGCGACCTCCTTCCCATTTGCCAAGCGTGGCCAATATGACAAACCCCTCTAATGTCCACTACATTACTTGTCCACTACAGGCCCATAGTCCAACTGTGGACTGTCACTGACGGATGAGCTATCTATTTCGTTACAATGAGTATAATGACATGTCACAATATTATATTTTGACTCTACATTTTTAATTTCTTTTCAGGACACAACTATAACTACAACTGTAAGTATTACTTTAAAATTCGTTACATCCGTTTATTTAGACATTAAGTGACTTTCATGAGACATATGTGTAAATTAATTATTGTTTTCGGCTTACTTACGTAACCGTTTGACGCGGATCTCGACTAGTTTCAAGCCATGCTAGAAGCTCATGTTCATTAGTAGTAATCCGCGACACACGACGGGGCAACTGTCGCGGTGCTAACTGTGTAGCAGTGAGTAGCAGCGCGACAGTCGCAAATTAGTCGAATAACTCAATGGACAATTGATTGTAATTGTTTAAAAAAAATATACCAGATAGTTAAGTTCCACTTTATAAGTACATAGAAATAGTTGCCATACATCGTTGCTATACATTGCCTTTAACATCGTTGTCTTCAAGTCGTTTTAAAAGTACTTTTTGTTATTTTTTTCATTATCTAACCGATGAACTAATTAACTACCCAATTGTCACCACCTCTAGTGGTGTCATAAGCTCCGACTGAGGGGCCACATATTCTATACAGGTTAGACTACAGGCTCTGCCTGGCTGGGGGCCTTAGCATCATGGCTGGAGTATTGACTCCGTAGCTGGAGGCATAAACATAAAGGCCAACGCAAGGAATAGGCTAGTTTCCTGGTAGATTATTTTAAAACATTAGACACGTATTTTTTCTTTTCTCACAAAATTAAATGCTTTCGACGATACATTAATTTGAAATGTCGTGTGACGTCACAGCGTGGAACAAAATGTAGCACTTTGTGACGTAACGACCTCCCACTCCTAAACTTAACTCCATTTTATCTAAGTATTATAACTTTATACGAGAAGTTAAAAAAATACGTGTCTAATACTTTTTTATTATCTAACTGATGGACTAATTCGATTTTTAATTTTCTTACCCTGGAAACTACCCAATTGTCCAGACCCGTGTGTCGTGGCGCGCCACAAGCCCATTGTTTTCATACATTGGCTATATACTAGAGGTATATAGTAAGCCACGCTTGTATGTAGGCGTGCCACGCGGATTGACAAATGCATGCCGCCCATTGGTGGCCCCTGCGTCACTACACGACACACAAGTGTATTAGTCCTTTAAACTATGTATTTACCGTCTCTTATCTGGCTACCAACTTTGGCAATAAGGTAATAAACAGTGTGTGAAAATAAAAAATCTAATTAGTCCGTCAGTTAGATAATGAAAAAATATTAGACACGTATTTTTTTTATTTTGTCGTATAGAAAACAATATTTTGATAAAACGGATTTAAGTTTAGGAGTGGGAGGTCGTTACGTCACTCTACGCACCTATAAAAATATATAATACGAT